AAAACAACAGGTGAACCCTGTCCAGCTGAGAAGTGAACCCTGTACAGCTGAGACGCGTAGACAGACGTGCGTAGGAGCATTCTAACTGGCTGCCACAATACTGGAAGCACAAGATCCTCGCCGTCGTTCGTATCCTCCTCGTTACCGGGCTGTATATCGCTACCGGCCTCCTCCTCGCCAACCAAAACGTCGCTCAGATACCGCGATGGCCGACTAATGTCCCGAAACGGAATGAGACAGACTCACTTCTAGTCCTCAACGCTGCATGCTTCCAATCAGATACCGCGGGAGTCTTGAAGCAGACACTGGACGAGAGCTTTAAGGACTCCAACTCTTTCTTTGATAAGACGCTGCTGAATTCAACGCCCAATAACAAGATCGTAGGCTGGAATTTCTTCATCTTGATGGTGCTTTGGTACGGGTTCGCCATCATTGCCGAGGCCTTCCGCCTCTGGTACCATCGCCGCAGTCGTGCGGCGGATCACCAACGGGCCCAACGGAAGGGGCCAGCGAAATGGGTCTACTACCTCTTCTGGTTGTATCAATTTGGTGGTGCCGTATTCTGTACTGTCGCCATCATCTACTCTTTCGTTTACATCCGGAACCTACGAAGCTGGATGGGACACTCGGGGTGGATCGAGAAGGAAGATGGAAAGAACCCGGAAAGCGTTGCTTACTCCTTCGGGCAGCTGGTGCCTATCTTCTTGACGCTGTTGACTGTTTTCACTTTCTGTCAACTTATTGGTGGTAGGTGTTCTTCCGTTGTTTCGAGATTAGGTTGAAGACTGACACGCTCTCTTAGACAAATTTAGCGAGCGCCGCCGTCGTGGAGGAAGCAACGATACAGAGACCGGTCAGCACACCGCACCGACCCAAACCGAGTCTCCGTCGTTGCAGTATTCTCCACTTCCAGAGAAGAAGGACAATTATACCGTCACCGTGGCCTCGGCTCCGATCACGCCAACTCTGCAGATCGATGAGCCGCAGCTGTATCCTTCTCCAACATTGCAGCAAAGGTCCCCCATGAGACCAAGCAATCTATCGAGTTCCTCCGTAACAGCGAGTAATCCATCTAGCTCACCACTGCTGTCGAGCACAGGAAACCCTCCTGCACCACAGAATGATACTCTTGGACGTTGATCTTAATCTGATTACCACATGACGGCGTGGAATATCGAGCGAAGGCTCTGGCGAGAGCTCGAATGGCGATCTATCTGGAATGAGGGTTTTTGATGGATCGGTCTCTACGAGATATGATGATTTCTTTGAAAGCTTGAGGACGTCTATAATAGATGAAACGATGTTAATGATAGAAATGTACCCTTCCTCACGTGGATCTAGTGTCCTCTTTCCATTGAGTAGAACTAATCAGCACCTAAACGCCTTGAACAACCCATCCTTACCATCCCATCATATAAAACGTAAATAGGTAATACTATCCGATTTGAGACCATTAGCAGTAACGGCTTCGGAATTGTTCATGACCCCAGAAAGGTAGCACGGTCCCACTCGGGTTGTAACAGCTACAACCTAGGATCAACAACTCATACGGTTCACGGTCACCTACGTACAGACTTGGAGTTGCTGGCATAGTAGCTGCCTACATGCCTAGCCAGTTACAACTTCTACAGAGAGGGGTTGGGGTACGGTGGCCTACCCTGCCTAATGCTGCCTACTGCTGCCTCCAATTAGTGCTTCTGCCTATGCATACAGTCACTTCCTACGTAGTATATAGTTTGGCCTTCGGGCCCCCGAAATAAGACAGAGTTCACATCAATTTTCAACCTGAGTGTCCCACGATCAAAAACCCCGATTTCTCAGCATTATCTTCAACACGCCACAGCATAAGCGGCGTTCGTACATTTAATACGATATCCACATAATCTTTGAGCTTAGACGGCAGCGGAGCAAGACCAAAGAAGTTCCTGTTATTGCTAGCGAAGAAAATGTGGCCTTCGAGAGCCTCGACCAGACAGCGATGGTAAAGCTTGCCGATTTTTGGATCCTTGGAAGTGGGTTTCAGGAGAGTGTAAGTTATTGAAGGAATGGCATTCTTGCAGAGCGTCCCACGTCTTTGCTTTCCCAGTACGTGTCGTACATCTTCCAGTAGAGCAGAAGCTTTCGTGCATCATTACTACTGTCCATAGAGCAGTCGTTCGTAAGACTTCCAAACATTGGTCCCGATCCGTCCGCAACTAAGGTTCGCGCGAAAGTCATCTCGGGATCTTCTAGCCCCGGTCAATGGCCTTGAGAGGTGTGCGGTGGTGTATTGGCGGAGAGAGGTTCCTGGGCGGTCGTGAAGCGGAAACGGTTCGCATAGATTCTGTCCGGCTCCTTGGTGTAACAGGTTCGTGCATCAAGAACATTTGTGCATCAAGAACATTTGTGCATCAAGATCATTTGCGCATCAAGAACATTCGTGCATCAAGAACCAAGGAACAGTTGATAGGTCCGGTGAATGGGCGAGTTCCAGTAGCGAAGCGGGGTTTTGCAGATAAGGCGCAACACGACGGAATGTTACGTAACGCCGCAAGATCGTCCGTTCCAACATCCTTCCCTCTCTTCTGTTCTCTTCTCATATCAATTTGAATATTCGAAGGCTTGCCGCTTGCATACCATGAGCTCATCTGTCAATCCTGTCGATGAAAGCGGTGGTGAGTGTTGCGCGAGAGGCGACAATGCTCCTTGCGCCAGCGGTACGATAGAAAAGGATTTGACCGAGGACGATTGTCCAGGCGGGTGCTGCTCTGGAAGCAATGATACGAAGCAGGACATCGCTAGAGAGGTATGCCAGGATAACTGTTGCTCTGGCAAAGATGAGCGGCCGGTCAAGGAAGAAGAGAAGCTCATTGAGGAAGACTGCCAAGATGGATGCTGTTCTGGAAGCAGTGCTGTTAAGCAGGACCTTGTCGAAGACCCTTGCGAGGACAAGTGTTGCTCTAGCGAGAATGAACTGCCCAGCAAGGATGACCGAAGTAGCTGCTGCTCTGGCTCAAAGAATTACGCCGACAGGCGGGATGACGTGCCGGCACACTGTAAGGGCAAATCAATCCCATGCTGCGATGGTATGAACTAGTCTCTCCCGCCCAAATTGTGTCTTATGCTGATTTCTCGCAGCTTCGTGCGTTGATCGCCTTGCGGTTCGAGAGTGCGAAAGCACATGCAGCACAACGGCTAGTGGGAACGAGCGTCGAACTAAGGGTACCGCCTGTGGATATCACAAGAAACGTGTCCACGAGCGGTATGCCACGACATTGGCTGCTTTGGGCTGCATTTGTCGAGCTCTTGTTGCTCTCGGGCAGGAGTCCTGCTGTGCCACCAAAGAGCGATCTTCCGCGGATGAACGCCGAGGAAGGGCGAGTCCACGAAACTCTTCAGCCACCTCGACAGATTGTTGCAACAAGAAACGTCCCAGCAGTCTTCGTAATGAAAAAGCCAGCTATCGTAACGCCGCGTTGAAGGTCCAAGACTCAGCGTGCAAACGTGGATGCTGCGAATCCGGCGACAGTGCCAGCAAAGCCAAGGGAAGAGTTAAAAGCGGCGTTGCTCAAAAAGACTGTGCAAGCGACGATTCCACTAAAGTTATCCATAGCGCGGTTCTGGTCGATCCCGCCGATGTTGAAAAGGGCATCGCTGGCAAGGAGTATGTTGCACTGAGCATCAGCGGTATGACTTGCACCGGCTGTGAAACTAAGCTGCAGCGAGTGCTTGAAACTCTACCGGCTGTCAGTAACCTGAAAACGAGCCTAGTCATGGCTCGAGCTGAGTTCAATCTTGACATCGCAGCAATGTCTCCGGAGGGCGTGGTGAAGCACCTTGAAAGAACCACTGAGTTCAAGTGCGATTGGATCTCGACCCAAGGCTCTACTATCGAGGTCTTACCTACTGGCGATGTCAAAGAATATTTGGATCAGCCACTACCTCTAGGTGTTAATAGCATGCAGCTTATTGGCAAAGGGGTGGTGCGTATTAACTTTGACCCAAAAGTCATTGGTGCACGAGAACTGATGGAAAAGAATCCGAAATACCCTTCCCATCTCGCTCCGCCTTCCATTGATCCAGGACTGGCCGCTGGTAGAAAGCATGTTCGCAATATGGCCGTTATGACTCTATTTTCAGCTGTGTTGACAATTCCTGTACTGGTCCTTGCCTGGGCTCCCATTAAGCATCGTCCCATCCCCTATGGTGCTGCATCCTTAGCACTCGCTACCGTTATCCAGGTCGTTATCGCCGGACCATTCTACCCCAAGGCTCTGAAAAGTCTGATCTTCTCTCGCATGATTGAGATGGATCTGCTCATCGTCCTTAGCACAAGCGCCGCGTACATCTTCTCTGTTGTATCATTTGGATATCTCGTCAGTGGAAAGCCATTTCCTACGGGAAATTTCTTTGAAACAAGCACTCTACTGGTGACTCTCATTATGGTGGGGCGTTGGGTTGGCGCACTCGCCCGTCAAAAAGCGGTTGAATCCATCTCAGTTCGATCCCTTCAGTCTTCAACAGCGCAATTAGTGACCGAGGACGGTGCCGATATTGCCGAGATAGACACCCGACTGCTTGCGTACGGAGATGTGTTTAGTGTTATTCCAGAGCTTCGCATCCCGACTGATGGAATTGTCATAGCCGGATCTTCAGAGATTGATGAATCTATGCTAACAGGAGAATCGAGACCAATTGAAAAACAAGTCGGCTCAAAAGTAATCGCTGGGTCTATTAATGGCTCGGGCAAACTTATCGTACGACTCACGCACTTGCCAGGGGAGAACACCATCAGTACAATCGCTGGAATGGTCGATAATGCCAAGCTGAGCAAGCCGAAGATCCAGGACCTTGCGGACCGTGTCGCATCTTATTTCGTCCCTGTGATCGTGTTCTTCACCGTCATCACCTTTGTCGTCTGGATTGGTGTCGGAGTCGCAGTACGGAAGCAATCCAGCTCCGAAGCTGCCATCCAAGCGATCACATATGCCATCGCCGTTCTCATCGTCTCATGCCCCTGTGCCGTAGGACTGGCAGTGCCTATGGTCATTGTCATAGGCAGTGGTGTAGCCGCCGAGCGGGGAGTTGTCTTCAAATCGGCGGATAGCATCGAGACAGCTCACAACGCAACGCATGTGGTCTTCGACAAGACCGGCACTCTTACCGAAGGGAAACTCAAAGTTGTTGCTACAGAGGAAGATGCCACTGTGCGAGCGATGATACTTGGTTTGGCGGCAAATAGCAAGCATCCCGTCTCTGCTGCTGTTGCCGCTCATCTTACCGAGCAAGGCATTAGCCCTGCTCGGGTGGGCGGAATCAAGGCAGTCGCAGGCAGAGGAATCGAGGGCATGGTCGATGGCAAACGCATTCGTGGCGGGAATGCTCGCTGGCTGGCGGTTGAGGCCGACCCACGTGTGCAAGCGACTTCAGCTGGCGGACACACGCTGTTTTGCGTCACACTCGACTCAAAACTCTATGCCGTCTTTGGTCTTTCCGACACTGTCCGGCCCGATGCCGCTGCCACTGTCGCCGAGCTTAAGTACAAGGGCGTGCATGTGTCGCTTCTGAGCGGTGACAATGACGGCGCGGTTCGGCACACTGCTGCACAGCTAGGGCTCACTCCGGATGAGGTCAAGGCTCGCTGTACCCCCGGCGACAAGCAAGAGTACATTCAGAGGCTATTGGCAACTCCCGTTGGCAAGAGGAGAGCCACTGTTGTGTTCGTTGGCGACGGAACCAATGACGCTATCGGCCTGGCTCAAGCAAGTATCGGCGTGCACATGAATTCTGGAACAGACGTCGCGCAAAGTGCGGCAGACGTTGTGCTCATGCGACCCTCACTGAAGGGTGTCGTGGCCATGATCGACATTTCTCGTGCCGCCGTGCTGCGCATCAAGTTTAACTTCGCTTGGTCTTTCATCTACAACGTTTTGGCACTACTTTTCGCCTCCGGTGCGCTTGTGAGCGCCAGCAAAGACACCGTGGTTAGGATTCCGCCTCAATATGCCGGTCTTGGCGAACTGGTCAGCGTCCTACCCGTCATTGCTATCGCGGTCGGCTTGAGATGGGCAAAGTTCTGAACATAGCGATTTTGCCAAGAGTTGTTAGATGAGGGGGAGGTGTTGGCGGCTTGACAAGACGAAGCAGGTTTTATGAGAGGCAGGGTTGGGTAGGAAAATGAACGGATATGAGACGGATATATGTGGGATGAAGAGTTCGACAAAGCACTTCTTTTAAGTCAATTACCTAAAAGATTTCATCCGGCAATTGTTTTCTTTCTCGGATTGTCCGATATTACTATCTGATACTCTTCGGTTTTCTTTACATCCTAGCTTTAATCCAGCACAACTGACTTGCCAAATAACAAACCTATTTACGGAGTATGCAGACTGCATATTAGTAGGTGTCTAGTGAACACATCTGTATAGCTTTTGAAGCGTCGTCTGTGTGCATAGTGCTACTGGGGACATTGCTATTGATACCGTACGGCTTCTACAGGTACCCCTTTTCTATGCACAGGGTGAATAGAGGTCCGTGCCTAGTCCGTAAACCGTTTACGCCAGTTATAATCTCTCTAATAAACAGTGCTAAGTGATTAATTAGGAATGGATTGCGAACTATACCCCTATAATTCGCTCCGTCCGCTTACTCCTTGCACTGGATCCAAGAGGTCTTATGGAATAAGCTCTCCTTCAAAAATCATATTGTTGACAGCAAAACCAAAGAACTTGTCTAAGCCCTAATTACTAACTAGATAGCCCGCGAGCAAGGAACTGATATTATCAAAAGCAAAAGTAATAGTCTTATAATCCTGCTCCATAGAGGCCCCGGCACCGGGAAAATATATATACTAAAAGTATTGCAGAGATAGCGGAATAGCTGATTTACCGGGTGACTTGCGGGAACATAGTTATAAAGCTAGAAGACGTTAAAAAGTACCTTCAGTCTAACCTTTATCTTAGCAGAATCTGGAACCGCGTAGTACTTCTTAATAAGGCCAACGTCTTCCTTAAGCAACGGACGCTTACTAACCTGGAGCGCAATGCCCTGGTTTCTATTCGCGTTAGAACGCGTTTAACAAATAATTTAAGTTGCGTATCTAGCTCTCTCTCTACTATTAAAACCTGACTAAGGGCCAACGCTACTAGATCTAGAAGAACTTCCTTAACCACCTAAAGGATATAGATAGAGTAGCTCCTATAGTTATTAGCAATCTAGAATCTAGTAAGGGAAAGGCTGCGCAACTAATTAGTGTTAATTTCGACAATATCGAGTGTTATTTAAGTGAGCCTGCGGAGGCCGAATTAAATAGACGCTAGATTTGCAATGCAATTACAACGGCAAGACTGTTGGCTAAATTCAAGAAGCAGGATATAAACTACACCTATCTTAAATATATTATTAAGGTGTTGAGCAAATTTAATAGCAACTTAAATACTAATTAGGAGGGCCTTTTAGGTGATTAGGTAGCGAGGGATAACGGCGTTAGATAGGACTTCTCTATAACTCTTTTTCTCTTCTTATTAAATTTTTACATCAAGATTATCAGAAACTCAATATCGAGCTGCGGCGCTTGAAAGTCAGGTCAAATTCGTGGCATGCCTATGACTGTTACTACTAGACATTTTAGTATTTAGACCTGCTATACATGCTGCTATTTTTGGGTTAACTATGCGTCTGGGATAATATATAGGGGGGGGATATTGGCACACCCCCTAATCACTCCGCGCACACCCCCCCTCTCTTTGCGCTTCACCACCTTCTAATTGGCTCGGAGCAGCGCGGAGCTTCCTCCGAGCATTCACCTTTACATCTCTCTGCACGTGATGCTATACGCCAGGCCGTACGTGAGCTCGTACATGAGCTTGTACGTGAGCTCGTACGTGAGCTTGTACGTGAGCTTGTACGTGAGCTTGTACGTGAGCTCATATGTAAGCTTGTACGTGAGCTCGTACGTAAGGCTATACATAGGGCTATACGAATCGGCATAGCTATACAGCCTCTCCGTTCTACGGCGCATTCTTTCCAATTCGTGCAGCCGTATATACAGCCGTACGTGAGCTCATATGTAAGGCCACACGAATCGGAAAGAATGCACAATAAAATAGAGAGGCTGTATAGCTATGCCGATTTGTATAGCCTCACGTATGAGCTCACGTACGGCTAAGTGAATAAGAAAGGCTACACGTGCAAATGCACGTGAGAATAGAGCTCCGGACGAAGCTCCGAGCCGCTCCAGCCAATCAGAAGATCACACGAGAGGGGGAGTGTGCGTGGAGTGAAAAAGGGGGTGTGCGCGGAGTGATTAGGGGGTGTGCGCGGAGTGATTAGGGGGTGTGCCAATATCCCTCCCCAATATATACGCGTGAAAGTGTAAAAGGGATAAATGTAGTAATAAGAAGGTTCGGCGAGCTGTGTGGGTGGGGCCGAAGCTAGCTTCTTTCGGCCACTGACCACGTGCTTACCTACTATGAATCCTCCACCCCTTCTGAGTTGAAACCCTTTTTGTCATTGTCACTGAATGTTATGATATGCAAAAAATCTCTCCTAGAACCTTGGGCAATGGGATGTATTCTAGCCCATATCGAAAGATGAAGACTCAAAGGATATCACGTGCAAGGCTGAGAACACCTCACACCTCAGATTCCTCACCAATCTTTTGCATGGGGAACCAAACTTACTGCTGCCTTGAGACTCCGCCTTGACTAGGGCCAGGATTTTACAAGCTCCCATGGCAGTGGAGGGCCACGACGCTCAGCTAGCCACATGTCTTTCCTGGTTCAAGAACAGGCGATGCAAACCGCAGGCGGTCTGCCTAGGAAAGCCCTAAGAAATGAGGCTAGATCAAAGATATAATCTAGACTTCTGCTCAACCGTTGACTAGGATTTTGAATGTGTTTAAAACCTTGTGCAGGTTTGAGTTCGCTTTAAGGCAGGCACGAAGGTTTGGCTTCCTTCCAAGCACGATCTCTGGCTCCTTTCTGGCCGCAAGGCTGGGCGTCTAACGAGGCTGGCAGTTTCCTGCACCTCTCGTGCCTGGTTCAGCCGCAGTTCAATAGTATTCTTTTAGCCTCCCCCTCCTCGATTCTTCAGCGAACAGTGTAAAGCAAGCAACCCTATCTTTTTTAATTTTAGTCAAAGTTATCTTTCTTATTGACACTTGCGCAACTGCAGAAAATGTCTGCCTACAGCTACTAGCCGCTGAATGCGGCGAAACGCGAGATCCGATTGCTTGTTCTTAGTCCGGCCAGGAAAGGCAAATGGGACGACACATTGCGATGCAGCCTGATTACAACGATGTTGAATGACTCCAACGCCTGTCGAGCCTCATCTTATTAGGCTGTTTCGTACTGCTGGGGCAAAGCCGCACCATCTAGTTACATTATTGTCGATGGTCGTCGTCTGGACATCACAGAAAACTTTGACTCGTTTCTGCGCCGCAAGCGAGTACGCTCGTCCAAGCAACACCTCTGGATTGACGCTATATGTATCAGCCAGACCGATGACAAGGAGAGAACAGAACAGGTGGAATTGATGAGCATGATCTATTGATGTGTCACACGACTTGTGATATGGTTAGTTGAAGAGGCTGATGATAGTCAACGGGCGGTGAAACTCGTCGAGGAATTTGGTACATGTCAAAAAGAGGGGGTAAAAGTTGACTTGGAAATAGCAGCCCTGAATAAACTTCTGGAACGACCGTACTGGAATCAAATCTGGGTGTTACAAGAAATCGTCATTGGAGCGGCGGCCCAGAAAGCTGACGAGACACAAGTTATCTGCGGAAAAGAACGGGTTACCTGGTCTTGCCTCGTACGTGCCTTTCACTGGATCGAGTCACAGCGGAAGTTAGGGCGATTACCTATTCTTGGGCTACAACAGATTTTGAATCTCGAAGAAGCTCGGAAAACAGGCGGTAATGGTTCTCTGCTGTCATGGCTTCTTAAAACTCGGAGCAAACAGTCATCGGAAGGCCGAGACAAAGTATACGGCTTGCTCGGTATTGCTGACCTCAGTATTTGAGGGTTTGACAATCTTCGACCCGATTATGACCACCCGAAGTCGCGGGTTTTCAGCCAATTAGCAGCCGCCAATATCATTTTCAGTCAAACCTTAGAGGTGCGTCGACATTGTCGAATTCGACCTCTCTCTGACCTCCCCTCTTGGGCTCCCGACTGGTCTGTGAGTGATAGCGCAGCTCTCCTTCCCGCTCACAACTACAATCATACGTGGAATGATGCCGAATATAAAAGCAAGGAGGAGGAATCCGACGATGACAGCCAGGAGGAGGAACCTAAACATGAAGGCCAAGAGTGCACAATCGATATTGAGAACAAGGCAACCAATGCCCTAACCGATCCCAAATTTGTTACGGAGCCAGCCGAGCAGGTTAAATCACACATGGAGCTAAATGGATATCCTCGCAGGACCAATATACGGACTTGTGACCTCTGGGCTGACATCCCATCCCTATCAATCTCAGGGGATATGCGAACACTTACCGCGCATGGCTTTATTTGGGACAGTATGAAAATATTAAGTGATCCGTTTCCTTCAGACGTCAGCAAACAGTGGCAAAATGCCACTCACTTCATGATCAACGTAGGCCAATGTAAAGCTATCCTAGACTCGCTCTCAGATCACCCAAATCCCTACCAAACTGCTCGTCGACGATTGGAATCATTATGGCGGACTCTGCGCGCGGACCACTCGGGCGAAGACGATTATCCCATACCAGATTACCTATTCCAGCCGGACGAAGAGGAGCGCCGCGTCGGGTTCCAGGACTGGCTTCCGCCTATCCCTAAGAATTGGATTCCACGAACACCTCATGTATCTAGTATCTGGACTGATCCAAGTACCGCAAGGCCGTGCACACCTACCTCGAATTGGACGAGATCGCCGAAGAGGAACACTTTGATGTAGCAGCTTGGGAAGCAATCTTTCCCGGTCGAAGAGACATGCTCGGCGAGCTGTTATTTCAAGTCTCCAGTGCCCGGCGGCAGGGCGCACACTTCGAGCACGTGATTGAAAAAGTCGTCGAATCAATGTCTATTAGACAAGAGCTAGCACAGCTCTACCTCCTAGCAAGGGGGCCAATATGATCTTATCATTTCACCCTTTCAATTGCCATGTGTAGTCCCTGACCCATTTCTTCATCTACGAGAGAATGTGTTTCCTCTAGATGTCACATTCCTTAAGAGACTGAGTGTCTCGCAACAGAGAGATTTTGCACCTGGATCAACCATGGATGAGCGTGCTGCGCTGTTCCCTGGGGACTACGGAGCCGAGAAATATGCCTTGGGGAGACGATTCTTCATTTCTGAGAGAGGCTATTTGGGGCTGTGTCCTGCAGAATCGCAAAGAGGAGATCGCATTGCTGTGATGATGGATAGTCGTGTTCCTTTTGTTCTTCGGAGCTAGGAAAAGGGCTTCTTGGTCGTTGGTGAGACTCATGTGCAGGGGGTTATAAACGGAGAGGTGTTCAATGAGTATAAGGCAAAAGGCCATATGCCTGAAAAGATTGAGCTGGTGTGAACTGTGATAACTATTTTATCTCATGGACGCTGGAGACCGAAATACCTGGTAGAAAATGAGCTATCCACAGATCTCGATTGTATTTGCCTTCAGGTAAAATGAAACGCCTGAATTTACAAGGCAATATCTTGCAATGCCTAATGTACTTGTCGAGAAAGCTCTCACCTATCGAGATGTCGGTCGCTTGAAGGTGTAAAGGTTTTCTCGAAAGCGCAAGAGAAGGATATGATGGACAAGACGGTGCCGAGGAAGATGGAGGCTAATTAAGCTATATCGCTATACTGTTAGAAGGGCGACACATAGTCCAGTGGAGCTGGCTGAGATGGTTTAAGCAGTACTATAGCTCGTTAATGGCACATACTACGGTGAATGGTTAGACGAGAGGAAGGGGAGTGGCAATAACGTTCGGCAGGGTACATAGGTCGGATCCGAAGCTAGCTTTATTTAGACCCCTTACCACGTGCTCACCCCCTATAAATCTCCTAACCGTTCTAAGATTAAAACCTTCTATTATTAACACTAGGCATTATACTCTCCTGCAATTTTCGGTGATAGCATGTATTCTAGCCTATTATATGAGGAGCGCTCGGAGAGAAATCACGTGCAAGGCTGAGAACATCTCACACTCCTCGCTCAAAAGACTGGCTGAGCCGCTTTCATGGGCCTCAAGCACTGCTCAGCGCCAAGCGAAGCCACATCACCTCGTTCTTGCCAGCACACGATATCTCCACTCTGAGCACTTTCCCTTCTCCTTACCATGATTCTCCTATCCGTCACGTTTAACATCATCCGAATCACCTGGGCGGGTCCTACCAGCCAAGACGTACAGGTTCGCGACATTGCGCAAGCCGAGGCTACGTTCAGCAACTAGTTCAACAGCGTCGCCGTCGAGGTCCTACAGTCTAAAAGCTCTTAATCGCCAACATTTCCCTTCATGGTAGGAACACAGTATGGCGACAGAAAATAGCGATCAGTCCTCGACTTCAGTCACTGAGATTGCTAAAAACGGCGATATCATTTTGGTCGTTGGCCCACACAAGAAAAAAATACAAGTCTGTTCAACCGTTCTGAAGAATGCCTCGAAATACTTCAACGCTATGTTCGGACCGCACTTTGCGGAAGGCCAGGACTTGCACGGGGACAGTCCTAAGGGGATACCAATGCCGGATGACGATGCAAACGCCTTGGAGATTCTTCTCAACATCTTCCATCTCCGCAACGATGATGTACCTGAAACCCTTGGCCCAACCGAAGTCCTGGACGTTGCCGTCGCCGCGGATAAGTTTGACTGCATTGTTGCTATAAAACACGCCATCAGGCTTTGGTTGAACCCAGGGGAGTTTCAAGATATTGTAGAGCTTGGACATCTCATGGCTGCTGCATACAGACTTGATAATGCGCGGGCTTTCAGTGAGATTACACTCGCAATGATACTTCTCCATAAAGATTCCTACCTCCCGCTCGCCGATGAGGACATTGGTCTGCTTGAGATTGTTCCATGGAAGGTTATCTGTAAGTTTTGTGCAAAGCTTTTCGAGTCAGGCATTAATGCTTCGCTATAGGCTTCTTAGAAGAGCGACGGAGCCGCATGCGCGTGGAATTACAGCAGATCTTACTTGATGGAGAACGAGGTGCGGGAACGGATGACGACAGGAGATGTAGCTGTAGCTGGTCAAGTCGGCACAGTTCTGCTTATATGGAGCTGCTTCGGACAAAAAGATCAGGGCCTTTACAAACGCTTGATACCACAATCTCAGAGGTTCTTGAGAAATTGGAGAACATGGATGATCCGACCATATCCCGCGAATGGGATCCATGCGACTACCGGTGGCATACTGATCCCAAGTTTAAAAGAATGCGCAACTGGAGGCTCAATGATTTCAAGAAAAGCAAGGGGCTTTGCATCGACTGCGTCCGGTCCAGCACCGTAGCTGCGAGGCAGATTTGTCGGATCGAGCACTAGGATTAGTCTTGTCCCTCTGCACAACAGAAGCCGAATTGCTGCGCCATGTGGCAGTGCTCATCAGATTGGCGCCTAGATACCTAAAGATATCGTTAGCCATCCAAGAAAATATGACGATCGCCTATGCGTGCACGTGTTGAGATGCATGCTGAGAATTCTGTAAAACGGATAGGGCTTGTATCCATAAAAAGAAATGGACATGTTCCCGACATTTAGGAAGGATCCTAAGGCACAGTGCCGCTTTAAGGTATCGCGTCTCACCGGCCCCTTCATCCGCGACTCCTCCAATACTCCACGACCATATACGTAGCAAAAGACACGAAGAAGTGCTTCCACCAAGTTTTCTAAGCTGGATCTGTGCTTTCTCCTCCTTCTAGATACTTCTTTCGATAACTGAATCCCTCGCCCTCTCGCTCAAAGTACTGAGTCACCATTTCTTTCTCCCAGGTTGGCTTGGACTTCTCCCACAGCGTCGAGTAATAAGGCCTCGTGAGTTGATTGGTTTCGAACCATTTTCGTGATGCGTTCCAGACTTCCAGAAATCGGAAATGGCCCGGGTGCTCGGGGTCTTGGAAGACGTCGAAAAGGATGCATTCCGGCTCTGCGGCACAAGACTCGGGTTGCGGCACTACAACCTAGGGTCAGCAACTCATATGCAGTAACGTATCAGGATAACATGCTGATACAGGAGGAAGTAACAGGTAGTGCAACAGCAGTGCTGCAGCACGGTATCAGTACTGTATCAGGAAACAGGATGAATCAAGTAACGCGTCAGGAAGAGATACCACGTTATGCCCCCGGGGCTGGCCCCCCTCCTTCCCCTAGTATATAAACAACGAGCTAGACACCCATAGAAATCAGAGTTCACATCAATTTCAACCTGAGTACAAGCGGCCCAGACTGGGCGATGAGCTTCTTTGAACTCTTCGATGCGAGATGGTTGGATGTAGAAATTGACGAAAAGTGTGAGTTGCTTTGACATATTGTGCGAAATTGAGCACGGGAGGGGCTTGCAGTTGCGAGGAGGAAGGTTCGTGCCTATGAATGCTGGGGCATCCGGCTAGAGTCTCCCTTTATACATGCTAGTACATGCTGGGGGCCAGGATTTAAAAACACATGACTAGGTAAGTATAGCCCTCGCCTTGGCATGGGCGATATCCTTCTCTCGGTGGATACTTCTCTGCCGCTCTCATTGGCTGCGCGTGCTCTGCCCCGTTTACCCCTGAGACGCTCTTTGCCTTACGCTAAACCTAGAAAGTACTCCTTTGCCCCAGACTAAGCCCATAAGGGCTACTTTTTCTAACGCTAAGTTATAAAAAGACTGGTGCTGTCAGCCTTCTAGTCCCCCACTTGAAAGATGTCGTCAGACTAGAGCCCCGGGACCCTTCGACTTCGACTTGATAGCAGGAGAGCCGGTAAATTTCCCGAATTTATATTTCAGCACAGCGAAGTAGTTTCATGACGCACATTCCTACATTTTCTCTCCACTTCCTTTGTACAGCGACAATTTGGTATGACTACTTCCTTTCTGTACGAGTGACGATCAAGCCGTCCTGAGCTGAGTGTAACCTGGACTTTACCCCTGCGTTTTTACAGTCGAGTTTTAGGATGTTTAGCTAGCATTAATGTTTCCCGTCCCTTCACCAGAAACGCAGATTGTCGAGCCGTGTCTCGGGTCACGTGCGAGGACTTTCACGTGCAAGGCTGGCGATATCGCCCACATCTTTGGCGAAGCGTGAGGAGGCGCAGCAGGCTGACAGCTGAGTACTGTCTTTCGTTTTCGTATTCTCTCTCGAAGTCGGTTGCAATGTTTTTATTCCATCACTCTAAACAACGTCTTATTATGAGCTGCAAGTGACCCAGGGAAGGCCTGGAAAGATCCGGGAGCTAGCTCTACGGAAAATGACATACTAATCCTTCGATTGCGGCGCTTGACCCAAGCCTGATCTAGTCTGAACACGGTTGACCGGTCGAGCCGCATGCACAAGACTCCAATCTTGGATCACAACGCATGAGGCTGGAGCCAGCCAAGCTCAGCCTCGTCTTCAATTGTACCAATAGTCCCGCTCAGCCTCGCAAAAGCACAGAGAGCCAATGCACCTTTAGGCACAAAGACCGGCATGCTTCAACGAGCCTTCCGATGTGCTGTGAGTATATGTCGTTGCTCACCCTCTCAGCTATCCCGGTTATCTCAGACCCTCTAATTCCTCTCTTAGTTACCTGTCAGCGTTTATATACCCTTACTATTGCCTCAGCCTCGCGTGTAGATATCTCTCTCCCTGCCGACATCTCTACAGCTCTCAATCGAGCCTTTCGTTTATAGCAATCCGCAGCCTCGTTGGACATCCTTCAAATGGGGAACACGTTCGGCTTTATGAAGCCTCAATCTAGAGGCGGATTCCAGTTTATGGTGTTGGATTCCTGCAAGGCTGAAGGCATAGATCTCAATGAAACTTGCGGCCTTCACTTTGGTCCCAACCATCAGCTCCTATCTATTGGAAATATTACGAAGGGGGAAATGACTCCGCGACCAGGCATCGCAGGTCAGGGTGTATGCCAAAGTTTCCTTCTCTCGGACTTATCAGTACTAATGAGGGTAGATATGGCTAGGCATGCTCTCTCTTTTTGCTGTCATCGTGGTCGCCTTCGTTTTTGTGGCTATTGAGATCGTCTCGCGATTCGAGTTGAGCCGCAAGCTGGCATCTAACGGCAGGTACGGTATCCCACGTCTTTCTACTCTGCCTTTTAGTGAACAGAACATCCCTTGCGAGTATTGACTCTTGGTGTGCATAGGGTGCTCAAATTCGTCTACTACTTCAAAGACCCGCCGGATGAAGATGTTGATGACCCGGAACGGAAGATACGATATAGAGCCCGAATCAGGGCAGGTATACGAGGCTACGTGCTTGGAGCGTCAGATGCCCAGACCATTCTGGTTGCTGCGTTCATCCTTAGCTTTGCCGCCCAAGAGAAATGCCAGCTGACGTCCTACCATTTCACCGTTGCTGCCGACATGATGACGATCTCCTTATCAGTACTAGTCTTTTCGGTAGCACTGGTACGAACTTATTGGAGAAACCCGTGGGCGGCAACTTTCCGGGTCCTGTTGTCTATCGGAGCCTTCATTGGCGTCGGTCTGACCATATTCGGAGAGAACAACTACTCCCCAGAATGGCCTCCACCCCAAAATCGACATGACAGTGCAATCTTGCTTCCGGTAGCTTGCTTGTTAGAGACTGATTTGTGGTCGCGAACCAAGAAGCAGGCGGAGGATCACCAGGCCGATCTTGGGTTCCAGAACTCACCGTCACGGTGGCCGACTGAGAGATTCTTCTACATTGTCTTAGTCTTCGCGTTCTTGATAGCACACGCCTCGATAGGCGTTCGCAGATGGGAGGGCAGGCACGGAGAAGGCAATCCTGGCCCGCGACTCTGGACAAACGCCCGGGGATGGTTCACTACCATATATTGGCTCGTTGTGCTACTCATCCCGACTGTGGCGTCAGTGTGGGTCTGGAACAAAGTTCGTATTGCTCGAGTATGGGTCAAAGACTCTGGTTGGATTGAGGATCCCAATCCAGAGTTCAATTTGTGGGATTCCGGACAGCTGATTCCCTTGGGGGCGTTTATACTCATCCTGATGACGATGTTGACTGAGCTGAAAAGTAGGAAGGGCGAAGCTGACAATAGAAAAAACGGACATGTATGGGCAAGGATATCTGAGAGGGACGGCGGATTGGAGTTGGGAAGAATGCCAGGAGCTCGGTCTGAAAGACATCCAACCGTTCCTGTGCCTTTGTCAGCTTTGGGATATTGAGATAGTCCACGGCGCTACGTGCATACATTTCCTAGTCGTTCCATTTACCCAGTGGTTTAATTCTCGGTCATTCTCAGGTTAAAGTCACGAACCATGATTTCCACAGGGCAATTAATATTCTTGGAGAATCACATGATGCCAGTAATTGGTCACATTCTCGTTACTAAGTTCCTTGCGTGCTCCTATTTACGCGTCTTGGATAGCGAATGTGTAGCATTCATCCGCTCATGATGAGTCCAAATTAAGATTTGCAGCTAATAGTTGTCAACCATGGTTCATCGGGCCTACCCTCTAGCACTACGTTAGCTCATGCAGATCCGCGCGTCATCCATTGGGACGGTCCATCTCTCAGCTTCCCCGCATTAAACTATTTTTCAGAGGTGTAATTGGAAGTCTTGAGCGGAGGCCTTACCGCACGAGTGGGTTCGTGTGACGTGTTCCTGGATAGAGCGTTTGACCATGGTGCAAACTGTGGGGAAAACATGTGCGTAATTAGGCGCTAGTGAACGTATCTCATGGCTAAGAAAGTGATGTTTAGACTCCTATTTATCCGAAAAGTCCCGATTAGAGAGCTTCCTCGACTTTGGGAATGTGAGCTTCTCCGCAGTCGGGCCAGTGCAAAGCATTAGCATGACTACGTCTTGGGTCTCGTAGAGGTGAACGCCTAGAAATAGAACCACCGCGGAATCTCTGTCCTCACACTGGCTGATACGATCTCCGAAGCTTCCAGCCAAATGGATCGACAGCGGGGAAAGCGTAGACTACTGCAGCCAAGCCCTCATCTCTATGGACAAAACCACCCAGTTTCTGTGCTCCAGTACCGTTAGTCCCGTAATTCTCTAAACTCAAAATTATACCAATCAACAACGAGGAACGCTTAGATCATCCAGCTGCGAAACTCCGCGGTGATGGTAGGCTCGCCTCGAAACGGATCCAATGCATCCCAACAAGGTCGTTTTTCAACCTAGAATGTTCTATACCGTTGATCTGACCCCGAAACTGATACCTTAGTCCAGATTTGTGATTCTGGTAAATGCAGGGCTTTACGCCAGAGTATTCAATATCGAACGGTCGTGGTCTTGAATTTGCCAAGGCATGAATGGCGGCTGAGCTCTAATACAAGTGATAGGTCGAGTAGTTCTTCTCTCGTAAGATTTGGACACTCATACACAGCGTTCAGGGTGATCCGTCGCTGTGCCGTCCACTGAAGAATCACGGAAACGTTTCCGTGGGCTAGAATCGTCCTAGACTGTCATTACAGAGATAGCCATTCTGCTAACGCGTGAGGATAGACTAGTCTCGAAAAGGGGCCAAAGAACTCAGACGATGCAACGCATACTTCCGGATATGGAATCAGTGAACAGATATTTCTGTACCCGGGTGCTAAGAGACGTGTTGCTGACGAAAGTGGCAGCATCATGATACTGAGAGCCACAATAAGCAACGTAAATATCTGTCTACGGCCAAGGAGACGTCATGAAGCTAGACCAGAGTGACGAGACATCTAGGTATATATAGCTGATCGAAGTGCACTTCAATTCAACTCATCAGCTCTTCAATACACTATCTTCTAAGCAATATATCAAGTATCCAGCCACTTCAATCACCAACATGAGATTTACTGCAATCGCCCTGGCCTTCGCTGCCGCCCTTACCGTCTCGGCCGCTCCAAGCCCCGGCGGCAACTCCAACGACAAATGGTCCTGCGAGTTTGACCTTCAGAACGGAGGCGAATGGTACCAGTCCGGCTATGGGGGCTATGGCGACTGCCACAAATGGGGATCTAACAAGAAGTGCACCGGTGCATACATGCACAAGGGTATTTCAGCCTCCTATCTTTCTTGTCAATTTCTGCTTGAAATTCAATGATAATACGGAATCGTGACGGTAGGAAATAGTAAGGCTAAGAAGGTCTACATGTACAAGGACAAGAACTGTCAGCATGAGATCAAGGAATGCGAGTATGGCCAGCAGCAGTGGTGGAAGGATGAGCCCATGCAAGTGGGCAGCTACTGTGTTAAGGAATATTGAGGTGAGATCAACTTTTGGATATCGGAACGGTATTCGCTAACTACTATGCAGAAGGCTGTCTTTGCTGGAGATGCATTGCATCTCAATCATTCCTTTCGCGCTTTGAGCTCATTCTTCCACGTTCCTTGAAAGGTAGATTAGTAGTCGGATAATGATGGAATGAGTCAATGAAAATCATTGCTGCATTCTAGCTACGTGACACTCGGGTTTCATCAGAAATGAGCGACGGATCTTTCTGAAATGCATGAAGCATCCTTGAATAAGATGAGAAAAATAACCCCTTAAACCATATGTCATGTTTATGAAAGGCTAGATTGGTCTAGATGTAGCCCTGTCGCCACTATAATATTAATACATTATAAGGGATATTTGACAAGGAATCCATATGCAGAAATGAATATTCTCGAAACCATTTCAACATAGGAGCTCAACTTTCAGCTTCTTTCAGCCTCCCAAGCATGTAATGATAGTCAGGTATCCACTGCCTAAAATCTTCGAGGATATTTTTGGTGGAATACAAGCCGCGTCGCTGCGGTGTCATCGGCCCCAGCTGTTTTAATTACATTTGCCAAGTACGGAGGTGGGAGCACGCACTCAGGAGATACGAAAGTAAGTTTTCTCCTCTGTGACTCTCTTACAGGTGCGCTTGCTAACATGCTGGCCCTGTAGTGCGTATCAAGGTCTGCTGTACGAAATTCAATGACTACTACTCGCAATGCACGAAGGGAAGTAGTTACAAGTGGCGGAGAGCTCTTCAAAATACTCTTGTTGCCCTCCTTAACTAGCTTCACAGAATCCAATTGCAATTATTGCTAGAAGATACTTCCTTTATTTGCTGACATATATTCATGAGATTGCTAGCAACAGGAAAGGTCTCCGTTACCATCCCCTCGGAGCGCATTTTTTGGATGATCATACTGCGGACCCCATATTGGAAGTCGCGGCTGAGTCTCAATGGCCAAGCGGATGGCAGCTGTGGCGTCATGGCTATGGCACTCCCGTAAGCAGTGGGCCTTTTGAGGTTAAATATAGCTTACTTAGAGCACTAGGAGGGCCCGAATGAAAAAAGCTCGGAGAGATCCGGCGACCCTTACATTTTCCAACAGGATGGACTAGGCGTGGCGAGCACATCGATCATGCTGCAACATGTCTGATAGCCGACTTTCAGAGTCTCAGTTGTATTGTGTAGCTGTTGTGCGTGTCCTGACTTGACGCACATCGACTCTAACAGATATGCCGGTGACAAAGTTGGCGACACAGGTGTAATCCAAGAACCCACTTTTGGGACAAGATGTTCCGTTACGTCTGAAGCACGCTCTCAACCCGGAAGCCCATACTTGGTACAGATCCTGTCAGTCCAAATAGGGATCTTGGTCTTTCTATCATATGGTTGGAGACCGTCTGAGAGATGAGATGGAGTCCCGGGGTTTGATTTCCTTCAGAGTCATAGAGAAGAATTTCCCATCTCTACAAACAAGGTTCGAGACTTCGGAGGCTTCGAATTTCGGCTTTGCCCTGCTTCGTTCGGCCTCAAGAACCCGTCGCTCGAAGTCTTTGAGAGTCTTGCTTTTACCGCCGTCTCCTTGAAGAGCGTAACGTTTGCGGGATCGTATAATTGAATATTGCGACCCAAGTCCAACGTTCGATGAGTACGCGGTAGGCGAAGACGACTCACTCGTTGCGAAACGAGCATGACGATCTCCGGACCTGCGGGTGATGCCGATGAGAGATTCGGGATCGGTGAGTTGACGAGCGCTGGATCTTTCTCGTCTCACCCCCCCAGTGATGTAGATTAGGGAAAGGCATGTAATCATAGCCACAACCAGTGCTACCATGCCAGCACGCCAGAAGCGTCTCATTATCTTCGCTTTATGAAACGAAGGCTTATACCTAATAGGGCAGGATGGAGCCGCGGTCTTGACAATATGGACGGATCGAGCGGTCGGAGGCGGTCGTAAGGGTTGATTCAATGCTGATTGACAGTCCGAAGAAATCGTATGGTTACTGGCCTGCGTATGAATTGAGCAAACGTCTTTGAACGCGTCAAGTCACGCATAAGTGTCTTACTTCTTCATTTGCGCACCACTCCCAAAAATCTTTCTTCGCTGTCCACCGCGCCAAATCGTTGGTTTGTATGGCTGGGGGTAGATTCGCGATAGCAACAACCAAGCCCAGAAACGTCGCGATAGCCACCACTGCAGTGAGAGTAAGATGTTTCCTCCACTCTTTCAGTTTTTGGCGGGTATTGGCGCGAAGATTATGAACATTTTCTATACAGTTGCTAATGAAGCAGCCTATGTTGTCCGCTATAGTGAAGTTGGTGACGTCGATTCCTCGACCACGACCGATTTCCTGGAATAGCGGCATCCACGAAGGCATGATGAACGACTTTGACGCAGCCACGAGAAATTGATACCTGTGGCCGTTTTTACTTGTGAAAACATAGCACGAGTACGAGTTCACGTTGTTTGTGACTTGACACGACGAATGTGTTGGCTTCGTGCCAGAGAAAGGATACAAACGTAGGGTAAAGAGGGGAACACGTCCTCAAATACGATAACAAACCACTAAACCTGCAAGATGCCAACTTAAGAGAAAGCGGTTGGGCGTTGTTCAACTATTATTGGTTCATGGACAGGGTGGCACTCAGTGGCACAGAAACTACAGCCAATGGCAGATATCCCAGGCATAAGGCAGCAACAAGGCGTACTTGGAGAGGATCAGATTCCGGTGAGCGAACTGGGGTTATCACCTTGGCCATAGAGGAGATAAAAATGAATGAAGATGGCATAGTTAACGTGAAATAAACTTATTCTGACTGTTCTAGGGTGTTCTGGCCGATGATAGCAATGGAACACTTGCATCCTAGTTTACAATGCCTTGTCATGTGATTTGCTCCTCGTTTACGACTGTATGAGGTGCTTCAATGTACTCAAAATAATCTGGACAGGATGTAAAGTTTCGCACCCTTCAAAGTGGAAGTTGAGGCATAGAACTGAGGACATAAATTGAATGAAGATGTATATGAGCAAGTAGAGGTCTCCTACACTTTAGAGACTCGGGTCTTTCACTAGTACTCTGCTCGAAGACTTCCAGTTCTCTAAAGTGGGCTCACTCGGTACACTAAAGTATCATTGAAACCCGTAGGGCATGAAATTCGATCGCAGATGAGTAGATGTTAGGAGGTTGTGTAGTGAGTCGAGAAGACGAAGTAAAAGTGAATGCAGGTTGGAATGACCGCGCCAAGAGCCCCAAGAAGCTCGGACATTATTCTGCTTACCGGCGCACGGGCGGTTTGTTTTGTTATCGACCTTGACTCGGCAGCGCACCATCTCTTCCTCAACACCACCGCACCCATCGCGATATTGCTGCTGCTTTCTGCTGCTTCATCACGAGCTCTTTAATATCCGATGATATAGAGCCTTTCATCCCTATCTTGCATTGCGTGCCTGGTCCCACATCACCCCACCGCCACAAAGACGTCACCGCAACCACCAGCTCCACCACCGCCATGGCGACAGAACCCGACTATCTAGATCCCTCCTTCGAGCCCAGCTCCGTCACCGTTCCGCGCCTGCGAAACATCCTCCTGGAGCACGGGGTCCAGTACAACTCATCGGCGAAGAAACCCGACCTCATCGCTTTGTTCAACGAGCACGTTGCGCCAAAGGCCTCCAAGATCCTGAAGTCGCGATCGCGGACAAAGCGCTCTACCAAGGGCATAGAAGATGTGCCATCTAGTCAGTCGAGTACTCTGGACGACGCGGAGGATGAGGTGCCTGTGCTACCTACACTCAGCACTGTGAAGCGCACCTCTCGGAGGACCACCCGCGCCGCGACCGAGGAGGAGGGCGATAAGACTTTGGTACCCGGTCTACCGGCTACTACCCGAGGAAAGACTCCATCCAAAGCTGCAAAGCATGCTCGAGAAACATCGGATGTGGAGGTTGAAGAGCGCCCCGCGGCCCGGCGCACCAGACACAGCGTTACGCCCGCTGTGAAAGATGAGGAGTCGGAGCCGGAAACATGGCATCGACATGACGACACCGAGAGTCCCTTCACTGCGGACAATCCCTTCCAGAGCGGCAGCTCTCCTCTTCAAGCAGATACACGACCCGACCGACGACGAAGGACTCTTGGGCTCGTCGAGAAGGAGAAGAGGAAGAGTAGCACAGCGAGGCGTCGGACAGAACAGCCAAGAGTGGAACAACAGGACGATGGCATTGTCGTCCCCACTAGGAGAACTTTTGAGATGCCGGCAACGCAGCTCAAGCGGGAGAGAGCGTCTCTAACGCCAAGCGCACAGATTAAGCGGGAGAGGGTGTCTGCGACGCCCAGTGGCCTAGAACCCGGAGAGGAATTCACACCGGAGGAGACCATGGATCTCGTTCACGAGCAGGAACAGAACGGCGATGTCGCGGTCCTGCCTCCGCGACGAAAGAAACAGCCAGCAAAGTCAACTGGCACTCTCAAAGCTGGTATCTGGGCCGTGTCTCTAGCATTGGCAGGTGGTTTGGGTACCGTATGGCGACAAGAGAAGCTTGCGGTTGGGTACTGTGGCGTTGGACGCGACCAGCCCTCTCTGGCCGGTATCGATATCCCAGAATGGGTGAATGACTTCATCCCGCAGTGCGAACCATGCCCACCACACGCATATTGCTACGGCGACCTCGAAACAGTGTGCGAGCCGGACTTCATACTAAAGCCACATCCATTCTCACTTAATGGACTGGTTCCGCTTGCCCCGACCTGTGAACCAGACAGCGAAAAGGCCCGGCGCATAAGCCAGGTCACCGACAGAACCGTCGAAATCCTCCGGGACCGACGGGCCAAATGGGAGTGTGGCGGCCTAACCGATGGCGACGGCAACCCCATACCCGCAGTCGAGATGAGCGAGCAAGAGTTGAAAGACGAGATGTCCGCGAAGCGTCGCAAGAGCATGTCGCAGCAAGAGTTCGAGGACCTATGGACCGGCGCCATCGGCGAGATCGAGAAGCGCGAAGAAGTCGTCACAAACACCGACGGGTATGTAGCTCCCCTCTCCTTTCCACTGTACCCAGCATAAACGCGTTCTGACACTCGAATCTGTGCTGACAGATTCGTTGCTATCTCTACAGAATCACCGGCCGGCGAACCCTCACCTCCACCTCAACCGCCAACCTCCCCCTCGGCTGTAGCCTCCGACTCTGGGTTAGAGAATCACTGGAACGACATATTTGGCAGCTTATTGGCATAGTCCTCTTCTTCGCATCTGGGTCGTATGGGTGGTCTACTATCACCTATGGTCGCCAGACGGAGGTGAGGGCGAAGAAGCTTGCGAAGTACGCTCTCGACCGGCTCGCGTCTCATGCGGCGCTGAACTCGCAGGAGCCGGGGGCGTACCCGGAAGTGGGGATCAGTATGACACAATTGAGAGACGACGTTTTGCGAGACGAGTTCTCGGCGAAACGGAGACAGAAGCTGTGGGAGAAAGTGCAGAGCAAAGTTGAACATAACTCCAACGTTCGCGCAGCGGTGCGCGAAGGCAGGAGCGGTGACGTAACGCGGATGTGGGAATGGATCGGGCCCGTGGAATATCTTGAAGATGGGCGTGGGAGTGGACGGCGGGACAGCGGCAGGCGAAGTCTGGGGCCTGTCGTTGGATCGAGTCCTGCACGTGTAGGCACGCCTCTTGGGGACGAGATGAGGCAGGCTGGGAAGTGGGACGAGGGCAGACCGATCTATTGATGTTTGTGTTTCTCATACGGCTTACAACATAGGTACTCGGGGGACGGGGGTCATGCTTCAGAGGCGTTGGACGGGTTGGAGATACCTATTCTCATAGACTGATAATGTTTACATCGTGCATTCATGATGGTTCCCGTCGAGTGAACCTGAAGTAATTCATATATATCCCAATTCGAGTAAGAAAGAGCATTCTCTTGTAGCAGACGCAATATGGCACGTGATTATGATCTCTTGGCGCGCTAATCCAATCGAGGCGCACAAGCGAATCGAGGAATTTCGACACCACAGACCTTCTGCGTTGACAAGCAGCACATTGCCCTCTTCACACGCTTCACCCCACACACGTCGACGAAATCTGTCAAGATGGTGAGTCCTCCGCCTGTTTTTCATTTTGCCAGATACCATGGAATTGGAATTGCGACGCGGGCACGGCTTCGAGACTGGAGATTGTGGCGAGCGACGACATAACCCCGCTGGACCTTACGGACGCTGGATCGTGGACACGACAATGGGACGGACGGAAATTCAATTGGGAGAGGAGCTTAGAAGAACGATGCCATATGAGAGCCTAAGAGATTGTGAAAGATGGGTGGGATGGTGTAAAGAGGGTCCGAGATGGACAACAACTTGCCAGAAGAGCCGTGTCCGTTGGCGAAAAGAGGCAATCAAAGAACTAACATCCATGACAATTTGGGCATGAGATATTAGGCTACGGGTGTGCGAAACGTCTCCATGCAATCTGGAGAGGCGTCGACATCTCCCATCGCGAAATCGCCAGTCCCGCACCCTCTAAACAGAATTGGACCGTGCCTTCAGGACTGATCGCGAGTCCATAGCCCTTCAGGACCACCAGCATTCGCTCTTTCCGTGGGCCCTCGAATGCTAGAACTTCAAGACAATCGGCGGTTGCATCGCACATCTCCGGATTGCGACATTCTCGACAGCAAACCCACAATTTCAAGTCCGGCGCCGGTCTGACACGCAAGATTCATATACGCCAGAGCTAGTGCTATAGCATCGTCTTTTTTGATCAAACGCTTACATGTCCTTCTTAGGTGAACGTTCCCAAGACCCGCCGAACCTACTGCAAGGGCAGGGATTGCCACAAGCATACCGTCCACAAGGTACACCCGCCCGTTGTCCTCCTTTCGAGTCGCATGTTGATAGCGCCCTAGGTCACACAATACAAGGCGGGCAAGGCATCGCTGTTCGCACAGGGAAAGAGGCGTTATGACCGCAAGCAGTCCGGTTACGGAGGGTACGTAGTCCACGGATGTCTAATTCACAGGACTCCCGCTGATATATTGCAGTCAAACAAAACCCGTGTTCCACAAGCGTGCGAAGACTACCAAGAAAGTCGTGCTGAGATTGGAATGTAACGTTTGCAAGACTAAGGCGCAGCTCGCGCTCAAGCGGTGCAAGGTACGGCTTTCCCGCCTTAGATTATACTTGGAATTACGGCTAATTATCATCATCAGCACTTCGAGCTTGGTGGTGACAAGAAGACCAAGGGTGCGGCGCTCGTCTTCTAGATGCACAACTTTCCTTCTCTTGTCGTGTTCTTCTGGGATATGGGAATGGTTGAGGGCATGCATTGGGGTTGTCGTGGAGATGAAGGAGGGGTGCACTACTCATGCATCCGGGCCGAGGATGATTGACGCATCAGACAACAAATCCTTGACTGGCTACGTACTGTGAGCAATGAGCGATGTGCAATCGGCGACATTTTGAAACCCATGACTTGAGCCTACTAATCAGTAATTCGGTATACTAATCAGCATTCTGCAACCTACCTACTTATAAGAATTTCCCCATCGTTTTCTTACCACTCCACTTGACACCTGTCGTTGAAAGCATCAACCTGCGAGAAATGCTCGGAACGCAATAGCAGTCGGTGGGTCACGTGATGAACGAGACACCAACTCCAATCCCGGCCCCAGACATCAACATCATTTCTCTCTCACGCCTTGTCGCATGTTCACGCCTTGTCGCATACAGATCTCCGAAACCACGAGTCCCGTACCACTCGCTCCAACATTCCCGTCCCCGTGACTTTTCTCAAGCCTGGCTCCACGTCTTCCCCGCATCCCCAGAAAAAGGAAAAGGGCCGTGCCGATGATGCAAGGGGCGAATCAACCTCACCACCACCAACATCATCATTTCGTACGACGCAAACTGCCGAGGCATCTTGCACTCCCACCCGTCCCGCGGCGCCAAAGTTCCCCTCCACACCTCCACGTCCAGAACGAGCACGACTACTCCGGACTGTCGTTCACCGTTGGTTACTTCCGTCTCGAACAATGCACTTGTGATGCACGGCAGTTGTTGTTACTGGCGTATTACTCGGAGTGCGTTCAGGCCGAGTACGACCCTCATGCGATGAGCTTATCATGATTCCCAAGATGTCCCAGGAAAGGCGAACCTATTCCCTGGGCGATCATCGTTTCGGTGGTACGATGCTTTCTTTATGTCCGATGTTTGTTTCCGGACGAGCCGGTCTGTGGTATGATGAACAGTGTCACTATTCGGACATCGTGGTACATTTCCACGTTCTGCCATGTACCGTCACTGCTAGCAGTCCCACTTAGCCATGATACTCTGTCAAGCGCATTCCCCTTCATCCAATTATCAGCGCAGCACAAGCACAATCTGTCCGGCGACCCCGGATACACCCCACGGGGTCGATGTCCGATCGGGGATAGAGATGTGGCTGCAGCGCGCTAGCGCTCCCGTCCCCAGAGGTTTTGGCTTTGCCAACTAAAACTGTAGGACGATCGTCGTACGTCAGTGCCGCTAGATTTGCCGTTTCCTGTGGCTTCCGGTAGTTGTCCTTCATTATATCTTATCTACGTCCCTCCTCTTTACCTTCCTAAAGCAATTGAACTAGATTCGCACTTTTTCAACCTGCAAGATGACGGACATCAACCATATCGAACGGCTGAAGACCAGTGACATGGAACTGGGGGCCACCGAAGCCGTCCAGCGCCATGCCACTCGTCATGTCGTAGAACGCAGACCTATCTCTCAGAGGAAGCTTGATTTCGAGCATTCCAGGCCACGATGGCTGAGGGAGATGGCTGCTGAGGCCACAGGCGTGTTCTTTTATGGTATGTTCATCAACCCGAATATGTTGTGTGGGAATTTACTGACATCGACAGTCTACCCCGGCATCGCCTCAACCGCAGCCTTCTTCCTCAATGACACCGAACCCATTTTTGGTTCTCTCTTCCAGATTGGATGGGCATATGCCATTGGCATTGCTTTTGCTATCATAACATGCGGTCCTACTTCTGGTGGTCACTTTAACCCCGTATGCTCCCTCACATATGCATTCTCAAATCCTCCAACTAACTTTATTTTTAGGCTATCACCCTCTGCTTCGCCTACTGGCAAGGCTTCCCATGGAAAAAGGTCCCCTACTACATCTTCGCCCAGATCTTCGGCGCCTTCATGGCCGGCATGATCCTCATGGGCCAGTACCACGAGCAAATCTCCGCCTTCACCGCCGCCTCGAAAGCCGCTGGTCGCGGAACCGTATACAACGGCGGCCCAGCAAGCATCCTGTGCACGTTCCCCGGCGCGAACCAGAACAATCTCGGCTACCTCTTCCTAATCGAGTTCTTCGTAGACAGCTTCATCGTACGTCCCCAGCCCCCAACTCTCCCCCTTTCTCAACGTGCGCATAGCGACTAACGCCAACATCGCTAGGGCATCGTAATCTGGGCCTGCCTGGACCCGGCTAACCCCTTCGTCTCGCCCGTCTCGGCCCCCTTCACCATCGGCCTCGCCTACGCCAACATGGTGTGGGGCTTCGCCAACATCAGCATCTCGACCAACCTCGCGCGTGACCTGGGCACACGCATCGTGGCGGCCATTTTCTTCGGCGGCGAGGCGTTCAGCTATAAGAATTACTCCTGGATTGCGATCTTGGTGAATGTACCTGCGACGTTCTTTGCGACGGCGTACTATGAGCTGGTGATGCGGGATAGTCTGAAGAAGATTGGGACGGGCAGGGCGGTGCATGCGGAGGGGGAGGAGGGGCTGACGAGGCATTTGAGCCGCGTGGGGGTTATTGAGGAGGGGATGGCGGGGGTGTTGAGGAATGGGGGAGGGAAGGGGGATGGGAATGTTTGAGTGGTGGGGGGGGAGGGCCTTTTGGGGAGAGGGGGGTTTGGGTAAAGTGGAATTCGTACGCGTTGAAAATCAGAACTTGATATGTTTGTAAGAAGAAGTGATGTTTGTGCTATGCGCCACGTTTCTGTGCTCCAGCTTCTTAGTAACAGTTGTTGAGCAAGGGGTGTTGAGGTGTGGGGGCGGGAAGGGAGGCGGGGATGTTGGAGAGGTGGAGATCGGCTTGCGAGAGTGTGAAGTTAATCAGGAAGAGCTTTAGTGCCATGTAAGTGTAGCAGGCCTACACGTTGTACGTGAATGAAGTAGTTGATTGCAATGTGCTGTGTCTACCTAAAGAAAGAGAAGAACTTGTAGGAGCCGTATAGCTCCTGCCTTTGCCTTGCCCTCGTCAGGCGTACCTGACATTTATATTCTCGACTTGAAATGGATTCATTCTACGGTGATCTCCACGGCATAGTTCCTCCCTCGGGCCAGGAAACCGTTGTCTGGGGGTTTAGGCTTAACGGCCAGTTTCAGCACCAATCCGTGACCAACGGACTTGGTGATCCGATCGAAGCTATGCTGGATTACTTCACGCCGACCCTTGACTCGAGCAGTCATAAGATATCTGTAAGAGGACAACAAACCCCGCAGTGTCTCAGTTTCGTCGATGTCTGTTGCAAGATCCGACCACATTGCACCATTCTGTTCGCCTAGCACCACAGCGAATCTCAGTCGAGTTTCCTTATGCATGAACATCACGGCGGCATACTGGTTATCCATGATCTCCAACAGATTTTTATTTGTCTCATGACCGATCCATGGCCCAACCGATCCGCCTCTTCCCACATCAGAGAATCCAGCGTCCTCAAGTGAGGTAGTTGTCAAGGTAAACCTTGACAGCGGCTCCGACCAGGGAATGCGTGGGTCCGTATTACTAGGCTGCTCAATGTAGATTTGAGTTCTCTGGGGACTATGGCGAGGATTTCCACGGAAATAGTACAGATTGTAAGCGTGGATTCGAGCGAACTCGTTAGACTACGGCCGGACTTGTGTGAGATAGATGCCAATTCTGGTGCCATCTGGCCTAAAACAATCTAGCAAGCCTATGATGACGGTGGCTCCATATACGATGTCCTGTGAGCTGGTATACTCGAGCACTGCAGGAGCTGCTCCTTCACGATTGATCTCCCTCAGGAGAGGTAATGTGATACGAAGACCTCTGTTGGTCAGAGAGTATTCAGATTGCTCGTTGACTTGGGAGCGAACTATGTGGCCGCATCCGCGAAACTCGAATGGCGATGGGGCCAAAGGTCCAGATCCGTGAGCGCAATAGTGATCGAAAGGTGAGGTATTCCAGGCAAAGAGTGATTGGTCACTAGATTTCCTCATTATCTCGTGTTGGAGTCGAAGGAAAGCTTTCGAGCCTTCTCCATATATCATCGGCATATTCACGTCGAACAAGCCTAATAAGGAGTACGCGATATCTTCCACTCGACTCGTTTGCCTTTTTGAAGCCCATGACATAGTTTGCGCGATACTGTACTCGCTAAATCTTCTCGTGGAGAGAACCTGCTCCGGGATCCCTGTGATGGCCGTGATTTCCTTCCTCAAGCTCGCTTTAGTTCCGATCTCTATCCAACGACTGTCGAAGAATACCACGAAACGGGGCGCAATGAGCTCTTGGAGAGTCCATCCCCTCTTGAACCATCTGCTTCCTTTGAATCTCTTTCCGAAATCTGCCAAGGATAGATCGGCCAAGGAAACATCGGCTAAATACGCATAGCATTCCACAGCATCCCAATACCATCGGTACATCGAGTTTATGGCCTCCGATAGCTTAGCACTATTCGTTTTATCGATGCAACATGTGTCAATCCAGACGTACTGGAAGCCGTCCGAGGCAGCTTGCTCGCAGCACTTCTTGATCTTCGTGTACCCGGCTGGCTCTGGAGCGATGTGTCCTGCGGTAGGCAGGGCTTGAAGAGATACCTCGTCATCTTCCCACGTATGTGAGAGAATGGCATATGGCGGGATACCGTTGCCTACGAACTCTTTGAGTTGGACTGTAGCCGTGTCCAGGAGCCGCATCGTGTTCCTGGAGGGGCTGATCGGGTATCGACTAGCAAAAAGCAGACTTCAATAGCGGTTGTTGACTTTGAAGAAAAGAAACGGTTGCAGATGATGATGAAGAAAAAGATGGAAGAGATCTACTTGCCGTCTGCTGCGCCTCCACAAGAGGGGTGGAGATGCAAGGTGTTTCCAGCCTTGCACGTGATTTGCATCGGAGCCTTCACCATCCGTTAGGCCAGAACGCATGCCATCACCGAGGTCCGCAGGATAGCATAGCATCCAGTGCCGTTGATAGAAGCTTTCGGTCCCAGAACGGGTGGGATATTTATAGGAGGTGATCACGTGGCAAGTCGTCTAGATAAAGCCAGCTTCCTCAACGCCATGTCTATCTGTGAAAACGCTGAAATTCATGAACTGGAGCCCACAAGAATACGCATACGATAGATCGCACAACATGCCGTAATTATCACCCGAATACCCCCAGATGTTCCAATAGGATAATTTGTCGGGGTGCATGTGCACTCCGTTTGATCCACAGCAGTAACTTGTTAGTTCAGTAAAACCTCGTTAAAATAATAGTGGTCCGGGGCTACGGGTCGTATTACTGTATAGATTGTATTACTGTATTAAAGGTCACGTGTAAGGGATTTGTAGGCCAGTGGCCCCTAAAACGAGGGGCCATAGACCACTCTTCTATACAAAATCCAGCCCGGTTAATATAATATTATATAAGAGAGGGTTAGTAATACTATAGTAAGCAGGGAGCTAGTAACATTGCAAATATTACTATACACCACTATTATACTAACGAGGTTTTACTGTGTAGTCTTAGTTGTTTATTTAAGACTCTGAAAACTTACTAAAGAGCAAACGGCCAAACGCCCGGCCAGCGGTAGCGATAATGAACAGGAGAAAGCGAAATCACAAACAACACTGCGTCAGCGCCTGCGTCGGCTCGGGCTGCTCCGTGACAACCACCACCGACGTCAGCGTGACCGGCGCGGGCGACGCCGTGACGGTGTCAAATACCACACTAGTAACCCAACTACCTGTGTACGTGGAAACCGACGTCGACGGAGACTCCGAAGAAACCTGACATCCGTTGCACTAGGCATCACACCCGTTTTGGCCGACCGTCATTATTACCGCACTACACCCAGAGCTTGCAATTGCACAGTTCGTTGGCGTACATGTGCATTCTGTTTCATCCTCGACGCTGACACTTGTTAGCGTGGTCCTTGTTGGTGCTAGTAGTTGAAGACTTACTAGGGGGCACAGCTGTAAGCTGGGGCTGGAGGTGTCGAGGAGGGCGAAGATGTTGGGGAAGGCTCGGGTGTGGATGAGGGACTGAGTGCTGACGAAGACTCGAACGTGGATGAAGTATAGAGCGGCGATAAAGGCTCAAGCTTTGTCGACTGCGGATTACCCGTCGTTAATGGCTCGGCTATCGTTGGAGCTGAGCCTGAACCCGTAACAGTCAACAGCGTCGTCGAAACGCCGGTGATGCTAGACGTGGATCCCGGAGCTGATACAGACCCAGAAACGGAATAACTGCGAATGGATAAAGGACAAGAGCCGCCATCTTCTCGCTTGAGCAATTCGCCATACTCTTTCCAGTCATCCTCATCCATCTCCATGGCCTGAGGCATTTCAAGTGCTCGCTTTATTTTGCTATTAGCCACTGGACCGGGCAGTGGACCAGGGGATGGAGCAGGCGGTGGCGGTGGCGGTAGTTGATTTTGCAGTGCATTCCAAGAATCCCGATACCGATACATCGGATTGTCTTCGAACCATATCTACTCGGATAGAAGTACAATTAGCACTAGCTCTTTTTAAGAAAAAGTGGGTATTACCTCAAGTCGAGCGATCTGACCCAAACAGCCCCCTGGCACCGCCGGCGGTACCCAAACTTGTACGTTGTCATATTGTACAAGGACCTTACCCCAGGGGTGGATCCATGTGTTAGGCCGGCCAAGTAATCCAGGGTCTCGCGCTCGGGGAATGTACGAAATTCTGTTGGTGAATTAGAATCTCGTCTACACAGTAATTGCGGGTGGGACAGGACATACATTAGTTCGCCTTGTCTTCCGAGAATATTGTGCAATGCGTCTCTAATCTTTCCAATTTCATACGGGAATTCCAAATCATCGGGTGCCGGGTTATTTACGTCACGCCGATTTGACGTGAAAATGAAGGCACGTACTTTGTTAGCTGGGGTGTTTTCAAAGTCTCCACCAGGGCCCGTAAAGGCGGATATTCCTTGCTGAATACCTGCACCGCCGGTGTTTATTGCATCAAGAACTTGCGTTTGGAATAGGATAGGCTCCATAAAAGAGGGGCCTTCCCAGAGGTGTGACATCCATATTCGTCTTCGAGAAACGACAACGACAGATGTGCAGCCGAAAAGATTGACCACCGCCCAGCTATCTGGGACGTTGTTGAGAGGGCGTGTGATAGCGGTTGAAAGCATACCGGAGCCGGGAGGGCCACCGAGAGGCACTTTAGTTGCGCGGACGACTGACCACCGCATCCATGAATCTACGTCACCGTTCCAACGGGTGGGATCATGAGGATCAAAAAGAGCGCGTTTGGAGATTGCGCGGGTGGAGCTGGTTTCTTTTGGTTGAAGACCACGCACTGCGAGCGTCTCAGCTGCGGCTAGTGTTGCGGCTGGAAGGTATTGTTGGCCGTTGGTGGCTGTCAGAAGGCCTGAAAGGGTAATGTCCGTAGGCCCTGGGTCGTTGTAGATTGCGCACACTGGGTTATCGGGTGAGCAGATAAAGGCTGAAGAGGTGGATGTTACAGTAGACACTGATGTCACTCCGGTAGCACTGCATGCTGTGATAGGTGATCCACAAACTGTTCCGCATGCTGGAGCCCCATCTGACCTTCTCTTCGGCCCACCTGCGGTTGTGATTGCTGTTACTGTGCAAGCAGCTTGACAGTTGCTTACGGTCATCAAGCTACATGATGACGACGACGACGATGAGGAGGAGGAGGAGGAGGAGGAGGAGGAGGAGGATGGCGACGACGTCGACGGCTGAGAAGAGGTCTGCTGATCAGAGGCTAAGCTAGACGGCTCTGTATCATCGTTGGGGTTAACGTCGTTTAAGGCATCAATCATTGGTTTCAAGTCGTCCGTCAGTGTGTTCACCGTGCCCTCGTCTCCTTTAACAATGCTGTCTTTCAGCTTGTTCGTATTGTCAATGATGCAGGTAACCAGATTGAATACGCTTTTAAACAAGCCGCTAAGGAATGTCCGCTTGTTGAGTGAGCGCGCCTTAGAGCCTTTTTGACAGGGCTGTAATGGATCCGTAGGCTTCGGTAGGTTCTCCAAGAAGTCGGATGCCTTGGGAAGGATGCTGTTAAGCTCAACTGTAGCTGCAGTAACCTTTGGGAGCTGAGGGTTGTCGATCCATTGTTGGACAATCGGAAACATGCCTCCTATCAAGATCGAGAGGTGTGAAGCGCTAGTTTGAATCTCAGTACCTGCGATGTTGAGGACCGTGGTGGCAGCCGCGAGAGTAATTCCAGGTGGAAGAAGAACGACATTTGAACTAGACGAAATTGCCGTAATGAGTTTGGTGCTTGACTCAGTGCTTGGCCCAGTGCTTGATTCAGTGCTTGATACAGTGCTCGATACAGAGATTACTTCGGCGCTCGATCCGCTATTCCATATGGTACTGGATACGGAGTTTAGCTCGCTGCTTGAAGGTGTGACGGAAGGGAAGGTAGGCGTGATCTGGCCTGAATTGGACGAATATGGTTTGCTTTCGCTCGAGATAAAAGTCGACTCTATGGACGAGCTGACTGGCAAAGAGCTAAGAGTAGATCCAACCCCTGTTCCTCCGAGCGTCGCTGTACTGTTTATAGGAATGGGAAATGGAGGGGATGTCTCCGGCGGCCCGAGCGCTCCGTTGGTGGAAGATATGGCTCCAGTTCCGCCTGAAGTGCCGAAACAAGCACTGAAGAGGTTTGCAGTAGGACGAACAAACATTTCAGCAATTCAGACATTGCCATGGCTTGATGGATTTGGAAAGAAACGAAAACTCAGCATATGAAGAGTCTAAAGCATGCGTATCGAGAGGCATAGCTGGGGTGTGATGCTACATATATAGCTACAAGACAGAACGGAAGACGTGTTATCGAGACATAGCAACGTGTTATTGCTGTAATTCCTGTTTCATTCTGCATGCAAAGAATTCAGGGGTTCACATCCTCGACTCTGGAAGAAGTGCAAGGGGCGTAATTCAGAATGTTTCGTACTGAGAACATTGTGATGGCGTTGGAGATTGATGCTAGGAAGGATGGACGTGGCAGTGGCACAGGCTGAGAGGGAGCTACTTTCATGGATATATGTATTCTCATGGTAGCCTACCAGCTCAAATGACTTACGTAGAAAGCAGGAAGCCCACAGAGATGAATGTCATCGAGTATGAAAGTTGGTGATTTGAACACCTTGGACGTCTTTGCCATCTGCTATTCGGAAAGAGCGTGAAGGTCATTGTCTGGATGTGCGAGAGCGGGCGCGAAATGCATACGTCGCAATAACTTCTGCCTGTATAGCCCTGCATCCTTCGTTTCCATGATCGAGATCAAGGACATATTTCGGCAGGATATTTTTGGCACGGGTTTCGCCCACCAAAAGCTACTGTGCCCCCAACAACGCCATGCTCTATCTGGGACGATCGTGGCGGAGTGCGTGTTCTAGCCAACTAGCAGGATATGGCGTTGCCACCCGATAGCTAGCGGCGGCGAGGGTGAGGTCCAATGTGGGTGGTAAACAAAAGAGTGATTTTGATTGTGTTGAAGTGCGTGGTGTAGGAGCTAACTTGCTAGCTGTGCGAAGGAAGGATAGTTATATTTTCTACGAGGTGCTGAGTAATATAAGCCGCTAGAGAGGAAGGGCCAAGAAGGAGACCGTGCCGTAGCAGGTGCCATCAACGGACTGTGGTAATGCCAAACCGACTCGGCTAGCTCCACTAGACTATGTGTCGCCCATGTAATTAGTATAGCGATAGAGCCTAGTTAGTTAGCCTACACGCACTTACTTTGTAGTGTGTATACAAAGTGCGTGGCTATAGTTCCTCATCCGATGCATCACTCAATCACGTTCATCGTTGTTGAACACCACCCTGAAGTCGCGAGACAACTCCCCGCCAAACACGTGTGCCGTTAGTGAAGCAGGCGTTGTTTGTGAGGCGAGCGCCATCAGGTGAGGCGGGTGCCATCAGTGAGGCGAGGACGAGGCAACCACACCTATCCAAGGTGCCTTGCTGTGCCGCAGCAATGCTGCCATCTGTTTGAAACGATCGCATTTCACCCAGTTGAACACGGTTGCATTTACTTTAGAGAAATTTCATCTCGTCGAGGATGAACCAGCGACACCGCCAAACTGCCTAATCAAAGTCTGTTCACTCAACTTTTGCAATCCCGGCAGCCATGGAAAGGCGCCCATCGCCGCCTCCGGATCTCGAACCCAGCGCAACTACTGCTTATCCCCCCGACGACAACGATCCATTGCTCGGCCCTTTTTTTGCGGCCTGCCAAACGGGCAATGTCGAGCTGGCTGTGCAGCTCGCACGATACCGTGACCCTCGCGACAACTTGCTTACATGGGGCCTTAACAAGGCGCTTGAAGCAGGGCATCTTGACGTCGCCCATGGCCTCCTTGAACTTGGAGTCAAGTGGGATGCTCACACGATATATCCTGCAGTGACGTCGCTTGAAACCATCAAACTCCTAGTCGAGTTCGGGTTCAAGGTGAACGACCCACTACCCGACGGCGAAGTTATTCTTCCGTGAGAGCGTGCCATACCCCTCCTATCATTTTCATCGTACTAACCCCGTTCCGCATCCCTAGTATGATTGTCGCGCGCAACGACTTCGCCTTCGTCCGCTACCTCCTCTCGCAAGGCGCAGACCCTAATCTCGGCCCGCCACTGTGTCCACAAGAGAGCATCTCATGGAAAATCCGGCCAGTTTCCGACTCGGGCGAAGCGCTGAATTACGCGGCTGTCTGCTCGACCCCTGAAATGATCGAGCTGCTCCTTTCTCACGGTGCGGTCCTCGCGAATGCGGTCCCCCTTCACTTCGCGGCGCAAGGGAGTAAGAATGCTGCCCCCGGGGCTACGATTCCCATGATGGAGTATTTGCTTGGGCCGGGGCTTGATGTTAATGCGATGGATCTTGAGATCAGAGGGGGGATGGGGCAGTATGGGACGCCGCTGCATTGTGCGATTAGGACGAAGAGAGATGAGGAGGCGAAGTGGTTGGTGGAGAAAGGGGCGGACCGCAAGGCCAAGCTGCCTCCCTTTGCTAAGTATAGAATGAGCTGGTAAGTATTTAGTCTAAAGCAGAGGACTAAATATTTTGAAGTGGATACCAGAAGGGGTGTTTGAATCTCTGGCGAACTGAAGGTGGCTAAAGCTGCCAAGGCGGTGTGCTCTCCCCTCGAAATTATGCCCATGTTGCTAGCCTTTTGCAATTTGCCTCGATGAAGCTGGATATTTGAATAATTTGATGACTGTATGTGTTCTTAGACAATCCGCAATTACCCGCTATCTATGAAGATACTTGCTCAACCTCATTATTTGCTTCACCCATGAGTAAAACGTAGGAAGATTGTCTCAACCTACTACGCTGTGATCTGCAAAAAGTCCACCATCTGCCCAGCTGCACCTGCTTCACTATTTGCATCCCTTGATATCATTTGATAGCACTTTAACGCCAGCGATGTCCACTTCTACAACGTGAATGGCTGCTCCATCTACAAAGCAGCCACAGATCCATGTCCGCTATCAATTACTCCAAAGCCATCAACCAGAGTCTCCAATAACACGCGAGGGATGCCAGATTTACAGAAATCTGACCCAACACATCCTCAGCACGCTATGTCCAAAACCCTGTCGCGTTCCCAACCCTCTTCATATCTAAGTTTAGAGCAGAAATATGCCATTCTCTAGTAAAGCACTCGAGCGCGTACTGTAAGAGTTCTGTGTCGAGATCTGAATTATGTAGTTAAGTGAAATTTTGGTGGTTTCTTGGGTATGTGGATTTCAGGTTGGCAGAAGGAGTTGGAATGCAAAATAACGCTGGAGCACGCCCATCCTTTTCGGCAATCAGTGCCTCGCTTATCTTTTTCGCGCTACGCCTAATTTGGCAAGTAATCTCAACGTCCACTATAAAAGGCCCCTCTTCGCCGTCATTTTCTCTCCCTCTCCTCATCCTTTTCTCTCTACTCTTATTCACCCATCCGCAACGCCTCTGCACAGCCCTTTTCCCCCACTCAATCATCCTGCATGAGGCATTTTTTTCAAACCTAGTTATCCGCTCAGTAGAGTTGGACTGGGTTGCTAAGGCTTTGATACTCCATCGATACTATCGTATCGCTCCTGTACAGACTGGCCATCTCGGAGTAGTGGTACTCCAGCCATAGCGGCTGGGCAAGAAGATACTTTGCAGCTGCTCCTTAGAACCTGTGTAGCTCCTTCAATTACGTCTTGTTATTCAACCGACTTGCCTTTTGCCGTGTAGAATACGTAGTGAACACAATTTTTTAATTCTGTCTGCCTGTCCGAGCGAGCTAGGGTCTTCTCGCCGACCGCAAACTATGACAGAAATGCCAGCTACACGGAGGAGCACTCGACTGAGGACAGCTCGTAAGCTCAAGGGTTGGATTTCCTATGATATGGATCCATTTGGGACAAATGGCTGTGTAGGAGAGAGGTACTATCATAGCACCATCACTGACGTAGTGTAGGGGAATTCATACACATTGATCTAATGCATGCTCTACCGTAACCTTTCAGTACTCTTTAATAAATGAATACAAAATATTGGCCACTGGAGAAGACAGAAGTGGTACCGGAAGTGAAGAGCAGTATGTGAACGACTTCACGTCCTACAAGCTTAATAGCATATAGTACTTTAGTGGATTCAACTTCGTACGGCGTACTCAGATATATACAAAGATTTTCCCTCAGATACAGAAGCTCTGGCTGCTTTGCTCTATACTCGATTGTACGGAGAGGTCTACTGTCAGCGAGTCACGTGGCACCGAGAGATCCAGGAACTCTGCAACTCCAGAGTTTGATCAAGCATCAGCCCCTAAACAGAGCTGAATTCTCAACATCACGACGGCTCTCGTAGCTTGTTTCTACCCGCCCACTGTCTCGTGGATAGTTGCCTCCTAGAGGTGCGTTAGGGGGTCTCCTCCGGTAGGTGTAGGTGGCGGCAGAACTGTCGATTAACCAACGAAATTGGCGGTTGGCTGAGATTGACTAATTAGGAAGCAACCATTTCACTGAATACTAGATAGAAGAAATACAAACTAACTAATATAAGCGCTCTGATTGGTTGGGAAATTGGCTTAATTGTCCACATTAGGTCTGAAATATAGCCCTCAACACCAACTTTCTAGCCTTCCCAACTCCCCACATTCTACTCCCTTTTTATAGCCCCTTTACTATATTGTATATAGTAACAAGAGATAGGCTATAGTAAATAGACAGGTACAGGAGTTAAAAATCCTGTTAAGCAGGTGTAGGAAAGGGGTAGGACGCAGGAGGCGGAAAGGCTGGAAATCTTGCTGCTGAGGACCATATTTCATCACCTGGCCAACTGTGCCAGCCAGCCAATCCAATATTGGGCCAATTAGTCCAACCAATTTACACATGCAACTAAGCCGTCAGTCCAACCAACCGAGAGGTGTGAGTTGGTTGAATTGGTTGATCGACAGCTCTGCCTGGCGGAGAGTTAGGCCTCTAAGTGGGTGGCTTAATTCGAAGGCTCTGCAGCCTCATTGACATCGACGCCTAAGATCAAGAGGTACGCCTACAGGCATGCACGGCCTACGGAGGCCTCCGGGCCGCAGGTAACGAAGTCATTTTATCCACACTGTGTTTCGTGCGTGGAGCCGTATCTCAATCAGCCTATCTGGGCTCAGCCCCCACGAGAGAGCGAGCAAATAGACTTTCGTTTTGCGCCTCGATACAACCTGCATTATCACGCGGCACATGTCTCACCCAGTAACTCAGCCCCCCAGCCACTCGGCGCGTAGCCTGCTCAGCAGTATCTCTGAAGCGCGGCGATAAACCCTGACCGCCCCCCTAAAGTTGAACTGGCTTTGGATTCGGCCTAGCCTTCATCTGTTACTACCATCAGAAGCAACCTTTCGATATCATTCCTAGTAACTCATGATCAGTATTTATCCCTATACTAGGATAGTACGTTCAACCTACCATCCCTTGCCTCATACTGCGCGCACCATCGTTGCCTTTATCACACTCATCTGTTCCGTTGCACACTACGCACATGGCGCTGCTGGTCCAACCCTTAGCATTGAGAGCCTACCAGCTTTCACCACTCAACGCCCTTGCCTGAAGGATTGCCTATCCTGTGTCGACTGTGGCGGAAACTTCAGATTTGACGAAGGCGACCTCGGCGAACAACTGGGTTGTGAGGGACCTCCGTTCCTTGATAACTGCTTCTGTCGAGCCGACCCGGTAGACTCTGCAAGCTCAAAGATCAAGTCCTGCACGTCAGAAAACTGTAGTGGGAACACTGTTGATATGTCTCTGGGCTTCTCTATTTACGACGCGTACTGCTCTGTCACGCCGACCTCAACCCTTTCAGCGACACAGACTCCGGAAAGCACACCAGCAATCACGACTCTTCCAGCAATAACGACCAAAGTAATCGTAGAGACTGTGCTCAGCAGCTCAGCCACGGATACGTTCAGGTCTGGGATATCGCGTGAGTGCATTGTTGCGTGGTGCGCTGTGGCACTGTCGATGGTTGGCAGCCAGTTAGAATGCTCCTACGCACGTCTGTCTACGCGTCTCAGCTGTACAGGGTTCACTTCTCAGCTGGACAGGGTTCACCTGTTGTTTTGTCACCGTTGCTGCCTGCAACCCCTGGTCTCTCTTCACTATATAGCCACTCATTAGCACCTCAATACAACTCATGCTTTCCTCACTGATCCTTTGCCCTTCCTACGCCAGCTGCCAATGGTTGTATCGGCTCGTATTTGAGCTAGGCTAACCTCTTGACTCTGCCGGATACCCCAGGCCCTGCTCCCGAAGCAAAATCTTCAATTGCAGAGGGTACATTCACGATATTCTCGACCGAGACGATCCCATCAAGCCAGACTGGAGGAGGTTCTGCAGGACACAAGGGTGGTCTATCTCAATCCGATCAGATTGCTCTTGGAGTCGGCCTGAGCGTTCCAGTGGCTGCATTACTTCTATCTTTGTTCACCTTTTTTTATTTGCGAAAGCATCGGCAGCCTGGGGCTGTTTAATAAATCAATATGAAGTTGTATCAATAAATAATACTAATGAAGTGTTGAGAAATGGGGTTTCAATCATGGCTCACCTTATAATCTCGGGTCACGTGAAGAAATTGCACGTGACCCAAAAGAACATTGCTCTTCATCTCGATTGAGTTAGAGTCTATTACGATGCATTGTACTTAAGAACATACCTTGAACAATTCAATTATATTGATGACACGACCCTCCTTTGCATTCCATGCTTCAACAATATTAAAGTCCACTATATCAAATCCCCGCCTCTTTCGGAAAGTCTACTGTAACCCCTAAATGGTTGGCTTGCATCGTCAAACTGAGTGTGTCTCCGCAGAACATACCACAATACTATAAACCAAGCAGTTATTCAGGCATCCTCATTCAAGGTAACCTTCTGATGCAGCCATTCAAGACTCGCTACAGACACGTCGCCTGCAGACTCGTTGATCCAAGAAGAAATATAGTCCGCAACCCACAGAGGGTTCTCGTCACCCAGCCAATGACCTGTCTTAGGAACGACGACACAGGCCAAGACATTCTCTCCTATCGGCCCCCAAAACTGTTCGAGCAACTCCCTGCTGTGCAGACTAGCCTCACCGCCCATTGCCAGCATTCTCGGCTTGACTCTAACAGACTTGAACTCTTCCGTGTCTTCTAAGACGGACCCACTGAGGAACTCGACGGCAGACTCAAGACCGCTTGGCCTCTGCCACTCTTGAACGTATCTCCGGAAATGCTCCGGCTTAATTGCGCTCAATCCGCTGTAGGCCGCGCGCCAGAAATACCGGAGGAGGAACTGCTCTTCTCGTCCTCTGATAAGGAATACTGCCGCTTCAGGGACCGTGAAGAGCCCCAAGTGCCAGCTATCGAATAGCGTCTTGCCCTTGCTGGGTTGCTGAAAGACTTCAAGGCCGAACCCAGGAAGCGCGTATTCTGCGACAATGAGACTCTTCACGAGGTCTGGATGTCTCTAGCGAGCAGCACGGCAGGTCCACATCCTTTGTCGTAGGAGAAGATGTGCATTTGCCAGATGCGAAGGAATTTGATGACAGTGTAGAGTGCATCGCTTGCTTTTTTGGAGGTGAGTGGTGCTGAGCTCCGATGAAAGGACTGGCCCATCCCTGGTAGGTCTGGAACAATGACTAAGAAACCCTTGCAGACGAGCGCAGGGGCTATAGTGTGGTACATGAGCTATCAATGTCAGTGGCTTTACCCTCCAGAGTGCGATGAAACATACCGAATGCTGAGGTACGCCATGAAGGAGTAAGGGTGGTGGACCACCCCCGTCGTAGCGTAGAAAGATGGTCCCATCTTCAACCTTGACCTGCTGGCAGGACCATTCTTCGAAGGGAGATGCTTCGGAAGAAGACATGGTTGGCGAAGGATACAACACAAACACTGTGCAAGAGGGATAATATTACCACGGAGTGAGAAAACTGACGGTAATGAACCCTAAACTCTTTAGACACGTCAAATGAAGCTGGTGGTGTTGATGACGATGTTTAAATGGGAAAACAGCTGCACAAAAGCTCATATTTAAGCATCGCGTCGGAAAGCCCCTAAAGTCGACATGAGACACCTACGGATATACGGCTCAGGTTTACGTCCGATAGAATATGATTTGAAAGCGACAGCGTCAAATTGAATGACTAGGCCTCAAGTACGTGAAAGGCTTTGCTAGGGTTCCTATGTTTGCCCGTTTTAAGCTTAGACGAGATTGCCGAATTAGGAAGTGTTGCGACGTCATCGGACGTCAGCCGACGATTTTGCCCTACACGATAACTGATGAGCCAATCACAGTTGCATGGGCCGAAGTGCAGTCTCGAGTACGTTTGTGTACATTGACGTCGCTGATTACCTCAGTTCGGCAGTAGATTGAACTCACATGCCGCTAGTATCTACTCTTAGAACTCTGGAGCTCCCGGGTATCCCTACACACGTTATATCGACCAATCACATCCTCGGAAACACACGTGCGTGCAGTGTTGGGGGGGGGGGAGAGTGATATGAGAGACTGCTGCGTTGGCCAAACTCGTTAATGGCATGAACGTTCCGAAGCCACGTTATATTTGGATAATGACGAATGATAAGACCTGTGAAAAAACTAAGCACTTGACGGGTATGGCCGCTGGTGGATTTCGTTGTGTATGCGAAAGCATGCTGAGAGTTTGAAGAACTAGTCTGAATGCAATTCAAGCTGGCACCGTAAACCATAGCAGCTCACAAAAGCAGTCTTTCGGGACGGTTCGTTCGAGCACCTGCCACGGCGTAAATACCGGTGTCATCTTCGGCGGGATAAGCGTAGTCAAGCTATCCACCGTTTCCGGTAGTTCCAAAAACGCCCACAACGAGGCTTCGATAGATTGTCGATCAGCCATCTCGAGCTGCTTCCATGCTGCCGTCATGCGTACAGCTGACACCCAGAACTCAAGGCACTTTGTACTAGTCGCAAAGAGAAAGCTCAAGCGAATTAACGCCTAAAGCAGGTGCTCCGGGGAAAGTGCAGAATCGTCGGACTTCTGATCGAGGTGCTCTGCGACAGATGCGAGATATGACTCGACAGCGCGTGAGAAATCACCGTAGTCCTGCATCGCAGATGTCAGGAAGATGATAATCGCAAAACGACAACTTGCTTTAACAGATGGAGATTTTTGATGATCTTCAATCGACTCCTGGGTACGTTTTACAAGTCTCTTGAGTGCTGTCGGGGTCTTGAAAACTTTGGAGCGAACATAGTCATTTTGCTGCTCCTCATCGGCTTGGGAAGTCGGCAAAACTTTCAATGTCGTTGACTTTCTTTTTAAGAGTAATCCTTTTAGCTCTTCGTATCCCTCCCTATGGAGAGGTTGGTCCATAAAGCCATTCGATGTACCAGAAAGCGCAATGGCAGCCCAGGTGTGCTTTGTGAATACCAAGGGCTCATCGCGGAATGAGAGCAGGCCTCCGTTAACAGCAATCATTTTTTGGGCAGCTCGCCAATGCATGGATGAAGACTCGCCGCTTCTCCTCTTAACGTTAGCTAGCAAGCATGTTGCAAGAGTGGTTCCGCTAGTCGGCGATGAAAGATTGGTGATGATGTCTTGAATGACATGGTTCTCGTAACTAATTGGATAAGGCAGGTCGTATAAACTTGCTCGATGACAAGCCGCTTCAAACAGCATGGCTCGTAAAGAGACCGGCTCCCGTCTGTACAACTGGAACAGATCGACGGCCATTACGATGCTGCCAACATGATGTTGCCAATACTTTCGAAACAGCGACGGAATGAGAGTTGTATCTTCCAAGGTCAGAACACGCGATATTTCTAGATCGTAGCCTTACAATGATGTATCAATTGGTGCTCGTCATCGCTCAAGGTGAAAGCGTAAGTGGCAAAAGGGTCGCGGTAGCCGGACCCCAGATTGATTGGAGAAGGCAAGAGGCGAGAGGGCGTTGACAATCTGGCATCAATCGTGTGCTCTGAATAGGTTCCTAAAAGGTTTTCCCGTCGTTGTCGCCGATGTCTTTCCTTTGCTGCGTGTGCGCGAGCTTTTGACTTCCTTCCCGGGTTTGACTCCTCCACGAACAGCAAGCGAGGTGGCGCCATTGTGGGCTACACATGTAAGAGGAGACGAACTGAATACAGAAGTCAAGCGATAGACCACTTACGTCTTGAAACTGATCACGAAGTTATACGCGGAGTTGCCCCGATTACCAATCTAGGCCATTCGATTACTAATCGCTAAGGAGTCAAACTTGAAGTGAGATTTTTATCTTCACGGCACCACAGCACCTTTCTCCGTAAGGGCTGTATTATAATGTTGAGATCATCACTATAGTCAAAGTCACGTGGGAGCGCTTCATAAGCTAGCACCCCTAAAACACCGAGATTAGGAGATCCTAGGGAGGATTAGAGGTGTGCCTAGGTGACTTAGATGGGAGTGAATGTAAAAATATAAGAGTGCAAAGGGAAAGAGCACACAGTGAGCACAGAGTGGAGATCTCGTCGCGGCAAGGGAACGAGGGGGTGAAATGTGGCGGCGCTAAGGTGGCGGTGCTTGTGGCACATGAAGGCGGCGGTGTAGCCAATTTCGCTGATCAATCTTCTCAGCTTTGCACGTGATTTCCATCTAAGCCTTCGCCTTTTGGTATTCGCCAGAAGAAATGTTATTAGTAAGGTTTTCAGGAGAGCATAACATTCAGTGTGAATGACAGAAGTTCTTACCCTTAGAACAGCTGGAACATTTATAGGAGTGGAGCACGTGGCACGTCGTCTAGATGAAGCTAGCTTCAAGTTTCCGCCTCCAGGATTCTACGTACAAGGGTACCTAGGCTACAGTAGCGCCCGGTGGAGGCTTAGCTTTTGCTGGCGTTTCCTGTGTAACGTCGGGACGGCCCGCTAGTGGTCCGCCAACTTTTGAGAGGTCGCTAGCTGCAGGTTCAGGAGGCAGGACGGCAAAGCGGCTAAGCCATGCAAAAATCCCCTGTACGAGGACAAGGCGCGTAACGCCTATGCTAAGCCTCCCTCTCGATAACGAGGCCGCGAATACCACCGTATCATTAGGCGCTGCCTTTGGGAAGGCAGCCTGCTGATCTTCAATCAGGCTGACGTATCACCCTGGGCTACACTCTCCCCCCTGTACGGACTGGACACGACCCTGCGCAAGGCACGAAACCAGGGGTTTCACACTGTAAACCACCCCTGTTGTGCACGGTAGTGTTCAGTCCGTTCAAGGGGGGGTAACTGTAAAATCCCATGTTCTACGCATGGTCGTGTCCAGTCCGTGCAGGGGGGAGAGTGTATATAGACCATCGCCCACAGCTATCGATCCTTGATAGTACCTCTTTCCCTCCGCTCTGCAGTCTCTAGGCGCAGCTCACTCATCGACTTACTCCTACCCTCACCGTCTCATTGTGCCCCTTCTTGAACCCTGCATAAGGAACTGGCAAATAACACCCGAGGTAGTACCTTATGTGCACTATACCTTTCTTTGCAGCTGCCATCCTGTTCGCCTGCGTTAGCGCTCTACCGTTGAAAAATGAGACTAGTGGAGCGAACTTCCAAAATGCCATGGGAAAAGAGGAGCCAAAGCAAGGATGGACTTCTTCCCCCAACGAGAGGGGCACTGCAGATATTCTTTGGAGCTGCGGATCAACAGTAATTTTATGTTGCTGGTCGATGCTCTGCCTCAACGTACCAGGACCTAAGGACACCTACTGGATCATAATTCGACGCAAAGTGTGGATATTTAGTTTGACTCTCTGTGGACCCGAAGTGTGCGCTATTTCTTCGATGGGACAGTATCTATCGGCCCATCAATCTTCTAGGGACTTTAAGGCAGCAGGGATTAGCGATTGGACATTGCAACATGCCTTCTTCGCTGATATGGGCGGCTTCGTTTTGCAGACGCGCGACTGGGTGCCCTTTCCAATTACTGCGAAGCAATTGTTATGGCTGACCCAGCGCGACTACATATCAGTTTCTCCGGCAGTCTTTCGACATATTAAAGACAGGAACAAGGTCGATGGCATGATGCGGTTCATCATGGTGCTACAAACGCTTTGGTTTCTCGCCAACTTCTTTGGACGAATCGCCCTAGGACTTGCGATTACCACCATTGAGCTGACGACTGTGGCCTTCATCTATGCCAGTCTGCCCATGGTATTCTTATGGCGACATAAACCTGCTGAAGTGGGAGTTGCCGAGGTCCTGGTTACCGACGCGAGCATGACCGAGATACTGTTAGCAGGGGGAGAGGCTGCGCGTGAGCCGTACAGCAAGACGCCGCTGGATTTCATCGACCGCAAAGAATGGGCTTGGTCGATCTATTGGCACCACTTGAGAAATATCCTTCGTTACTTGCGTATTGCCGCCGGACCTCAGGTGCGCCCCGCGGACCGCGTCTCCAATTTCGACATTCCCGAGATTCCCACTTGGGTCTTTTGCCTTGGTGCTGTATACTACTTCGGATTTGCCGCCATCTTCGTAGCTGGATGGAACATGAGCCTACCGACCCACACGGAACAGCTGCTTTGGAGAGTGGCAGGCCTCCTCTGCCTTGGAACTCTATTTGTTGGAGAAATTATAACCGAGATGGCGTTTACAGTCTGGCCATATGTCAGAGCGAGATGGTTACAAAGCTGCGAAGAGGGCAAGTCCAAGTTTAATCCGACTATTGCTCATGAACACGAAGTGTCTCCCGATGAGAGGAATTCTAGGTATTCCAGGCCCTCAAACCCACCAAGACCCCGGCCGCGCACGATATGGAATTGGATAAGGAACAATTCCGTTGGGCAGGATAAACAAGTTAGTATGCAGCTTAGAGTACTACTACCCATGTATGTTATCGGCCTTTTATATATTACGGCAAGAGTTTTTATTATCGTGGAGGACATCTTGGAGTTGCGTTCGCTTCCTTTGAGCTGCTACAAAACTCCCGACTGGCAGCAATTTATACCACATTTGGGGGGATAGATGTAGAGCAGTCTCACGACGAGGCTGCTTATTTTGATCGAGGTACAGACGATAATTGGACATGGTACGGAGGCATAGATCGGACTGGATTTAAGCAAACTGATTTTCCTACCAACATAGATGTAGTTTTATGCTAGATAAAATTGATTTAGAAAGCGAGTCATATCATTTTCCACGGCAAGTACAAATCGTGACTCGAAACGAAGTTTCTGCATGCAATATGTATTAGTCTGAGTATATTAGAAGCCGTCTAAGCTAAGTCGCAGCACTGCCTAGATGCGGTACCTTTGCCAGAGGAAGAGAAGGGGATTTTGTCGGGCCCAAGACTCCGTTCGTGCTTCGCAAAGTGAGAAATAGATACCGTATCGTTGGTTTGGCCAATTTCGGGAGCATGTTTCTGAATGGTACTATTTGGAAGGATCTTTTGGAGCAGCTTTCTGAAGAGTCTGAGTCGTTTTTTGTGCAGGAACTCGCAGTTTGTTGATCAGCATGACCATTTTTATTATAGGGATAGAGATGGATAGACACGTTTATCGCCGTAGTTCTAAACAGGACTTGCCGTTCCGGACGGATCGAGAGCTTTAGTTGCTGTGAATATGATGAGGCGTATGCGCTGGATAGATCGTGAACTGCGATTTGTTCACACGTCTCCGTGCAAGGGACTTTGGGGGGCTTTGGTGAGCATAGGCCGGCCTAAGTGTGGATATATGACTGTGTCCCGAAACAACTGGTATGTATAGTGTGGAAAGGTGGGGTGGGCAAATTGGAATGGAGATTGCTGGCGATATTGAATATACTTGTTTCATATTTTAAGACCAGTGCTACGTGCACGACCCCTTTTTGCTGCTTGTACGATGTCCTTTTGCTGCACGTACGACCCCCCCCCTTAGCAGCCTCTTCACCGCGTTTTAATTAGCTCGGAGAGCTCGGAGGTTCCTCCGGCCATTCACTCTTACGTATATTTGCACGTGCAGCCTTTCCGTTTCATCTACAGCCTTCCCATTTTGTATAGCTACGTGTATAGCTACGTGTATAGCTACGTGTATAGCTACGTGCCTACGTGCCTACGTGCCTAGGAGAATGCCTAAACCGTCGATTTCGCACCTAATAGAGGCCCTCTCTCCATCGCCCCTGGCCTACAAGCACCTACGTAAAGTCCTCATCAACGAGATCCTCCGCATACTCATCAAAGTCCTCATCAGCCGCCTCACGAGCTGCCTCACGAGGCTGCGGCAGGCCTGTCGACTGCGCTGTACTTCCTGCGACAGGCTGTAAACCCCGTACCTGCGCTTCTAGTAGCGCAATCTTCCGCTCAAGGTCTGCCTTGATATTCGCACGTCGCTTCTTTGTAGGACCTCCTGGTGTTGAGTTCTTAGGTGGCCTACCGCGCTTCCTAGGCGGCTGATTGATAAACGCATTTGGAATCTATCTATGCTCCGGAGTAGTCGGCCCGATAAGCGAGCCAATTAAAACGCGGTGAAGGGGCTGCTAGGGGGGGTCGTACGTGCAGCAAAAGGACATCGTACAAGCAGCAAAAAGGGGTCGTACACGTAGCACTGGCCTATTTTAACTCCTAAAGGGGGCATTGCATAATTATTTAAACTTGATCCCCCTTGACGCTACGCTCTTGATTGATCTGGATCGAGTGCAGGCACCTCGAATCTCAATGAATGTTGCGCTGCAGACTCCATTCGCGATTGAGAAACCTCTCCCTAGTTGGGATCTGCAATCCCAGCGATCACTCGAGGTCGAGGTTGTAGGCGGACTAATACTCCAGATCGTCAAAATATGTGTAGAGCTCATCAACATACAAATATTTCGCTGATTCCTCGAGCTGGCGAAGGGTTTCAATGAGGACTCTGCTCTGCAATCTCTCCCGGATCGTGGGTCGGGGCGGAGGCGAGGGCGCTGGCGAGGGCGGAGGCGTCCTCCCAATAAAAATATCTCCGTTCTTGAACGTAGAAGCGTTACAACCATTGGAACTGCCGAATAGCCCAGGAGGGGTCATGTCTAGTCTCGCTTGGTCCCAGAAGATTATACCGGTTTTCTTTAACGAACGTTCACTCCTTGAATCGGAAGAAGAGATAAAACAGTATCCCGGGTTCTCCCGACTTAATTGCTCTATGGTGGTTTCTTCGCAATTTTCTTGTACTTGGCTTTCATCCTTCACACGACGCGTACGGATATATGTCTCGAGGGCTGTCTCAAGAGTAGGACAGCATCCGTCATTGGCAAAATTCTTCATAGCCATCAGACGCTGACTGAAGTCTGTGGTGGAAAGGTGCTTCAGGAAAGGAAGCCCAAGCTCCACCATGCAATCGATCTGGTATCCTTGGTTGTACCTGTCGTCGAACATGCTCAGCCCATACAAGTCAAGACTCTTCAGAGACGTAGCCATTTTTGGATGGTCGCCTTTCCGTTCAACGTTCTCTGCAAAAATTGCGAATATCGTGTCCTCCACTTCCTGCACCACTATAGTCATTTGATGGGTCAGATAGCTGTGGATGCTTATTATCTCAAAAAGCTCCCATGGCTGGTATCGTGCCTTGAACTCTTCTTGTGGAAAGTTTCCTCCGGAATAGTCATGGCGCTCAGAGACGTGATCCGGACCACCATAAAGACGTCTATACTCCTCGAATCGGCAAAAGGCGCGGAACAGCCGGGCACGTTCAAGTCCCGAGAGAAGAATGGAGGATATTTCTTCGCCTGACCAGTCCACATTCCTGGATCCTTTTCCACAGAGGCAAGCTTCTCGAAATTCAGCAAGTGCTCTCGCCGCGAAATCGTTAATGAAGCCATTTACAAGATTCCATAGTTTGCAGAGGGAGTAGAGCGTATCAAGATTGCGAAAATCTTCCTTTAGTTCACCTTCCGGAATGGAATCAAGAAAACCCTTGACACGCTGTAGTCGCCGTTTTCGGTACTCCTCATCCGTAAGGCGACCTCGGCCGCGGCCTGGCAGCCCTGCGATGTATTCTCGTCGTGCGGAGAGGCTGCAAACCGAGTAGGCACGATTCGCAAGAAGAAGGTCTTTCATGGTTGCTGGATGGACGGCATTGTGAAGGACAGCCGAAAGGACGGAAGCCTTGTGATTCTGAAAGATCTGGTAGATGGGCTTGGTCGTCCGAATGAAAGAGTAAAGGTCGGTGGGCGACTCCAGCTCCATGAGAATCATGAGAGTGAGGTCTGCGGAGAGATTGTAGGTAGAGGAGGTCATGTTGGGCGATGGTAGAGGGATTTGTGTGCGCGTGTTGGTGCCTCGAGGGGTTAGCAAAGTGCCTTATCGATAAGAGAGGGCGCTGGTCACGTGGTCATCTCGCCTTTCCCAGCCTCGGAATTTAGCTGTTTGACGAAGTTTCATCTACACCATCAAATGTCACTTCCTCTAAGTCAACATAGAACACTATCAGCGTGCCCCTACGCGCTGCGGCGTATTCCACTGTTCCACATCTCAGGCGTCTCGCTGCCGCAGCAGAGCTGGCCCGTGCAAAGCGTATCGCTGCGGCACAGACTAATGAGGCATCTTAGCATAGCCTTCGCCGCACGCAGATGAGCTTGAGGATACTGGATGCACAGTTTGGCAAATGGGGAGCTCACAGGAAGCGCCATTCGCGGACTGCTTCAGTCTCATCATTCTGAAGCGGTTTCAATTCCCGACTATCTCGACGGGGAGTAACGATAACCTATCCCGCTTCAAAGCACAGCTTGAAGATTATTTTAGGCCGAGATGCTGTCATTGCTGCTGCTGAATGTGCCCTCACAATTAGATGTCTGTATCAGGTTTATCTGAACTCACGGATTTGAATGGTTTTGCCCTAGATTCTCATAGCCGCCGAACTTCATGGCGATCGCATGCGGAAAGACGGCGTTTCTATGATCTGGAGGCCTGCTGTCCGACCAGGCGCTTATCTTCCATTCCTAAATGAGGACTCCATGAGGCACTGGTAAGGTAAATCTAAAATACTTTTGTTGTCCCTATCTTTTCTTGAACATTCAGTTTCCGTCTTACCCTCCACGGCTCGTCCCTTCCTTACAAGTCACGTACTTCAGGATGTCGTCCCGCTATGGACGAATAAGGGTCACCAATATCCCATACGACAACGAGACTGACTATAGAAATGAGCGGATTCGACGGTATCCTAATACCTACTATGATGATCACCCCTCTCAAGAGGCTGAGGATGATTACAATGCGTACTCAACCCACACGGATAAAGCGAACCGAGCTGTAGGATACTACAAATAGCAACGGCAGGCCACCGAGTCTCAATTCGAGCGGGACACCAAGTCCAATCTGTTCCGGAGTGAAAAAGACAAGCTAAGAGAACGCAAATATTACAAAAAGTATGATAGCCTGTTCCCAGAGCAGCACAGCAGATTGGTGGAGCCTGCCCTAGATGCCTCATTTGCAACCGAGAAGTGAGCAGCTCTTTTATTGTCTTTTTACCTCAAGGCTGATATTCGGTAGTATGGCAGTTGGTCGCCATAAGTTCCTGGAATCACATCCCCTTGGGTATAACATATTGCGTGGCCGAGAAAAGCATGTAGATTATTTTGCAAGCGCACAAAAGCAATGGGAATTATATGATAAGAAAGCCCAGAAGCACGCTCAATATGCAAGGTTAGTTAACCTATTCTCATAAATACTGTGTCTCGTCATAAATATCTACCACACCTTTTTGCCACATCGTAACTGTGATCTGCTGACCTGGATTTCTGAAAATACCATGAGGCACCACAAGCGGTGGTAGAAAAGTGTGCAAATATCTATCACCACGCGCTGGCTGAACCAACCCTTTCGGATATCCATGAAAGGAAAGACTAACGCCAGCTCAGTGACCCTGAGATAAACGAGAAGCGAGATCAATATGGGCGACTGAGGCCTCGGTACGAACCTAGCGACGACGAGCGAGAAGAATACTACGATGACTTAGAAGAGAGTCGCGGGGTCGTTCTTTTGGGACCAAGCCCCAGCACGATCCTCGCGTAGTAGAAGTAGAAGTCGAGGACGACACGGGTATCGAGCCAGCTACGGTGAAGACTATCCCTTCCAACACTGAGCTGCATGTGGCTGTTATACAGTCAATCGCTCCGGTCATCGAATCGCTCCGATATGCTCATGGAGAGGAACATCAGAGTTGGCGGACGCGAGCGTTGAAAGGGACAGCTACGACGGAAACTAGTATGGCGAGAAATACTGGCTGTGAGTCATAGATTGAAGCCTAAGTTGGGCAGCTAAAGTGGGCTAAGTTGTTGTTTCGCGATTTTTGCTAGATGTGGTAGTTGGTTTGAACGGTACGATATCTGATGGTACTCAATTTCATGTCTCGCATGGTTTCGCAAATCTTTTATCAATCGTTCAAGTCACACGGAGAACAAAGGCTCTCAAAAGCCGCTCTGGATAGGGATCTGCCAAGATCGCTCTATTAGTCTCATTGATTCCCAAACTAGACGCTACCAAGATGATTACGCACCCGAAAGCAGGTTGCTGAATGGGGCGGACAGGTGTTACGCGTACGAACAGCTAGGCGAACCTTGGGAATTTGTTTCTGAATGAAAATATTTGGATGGATCTTGTAGAGCTGCTCTGTGAAGGGTCTAAGTCGTTTTTGGTGCGAGTACTTGCACTTTGGGGACCATTTGGACCAATGGTACGGTTACGGATATTCGACGGATATAGGCGTTTATCGTCGTAGTCCACTTCGTAATTCCAGACCAGGCCTGGCATTCCGGACGGATTGAGGGGTTCAATTACTCACTTCTAATCTCTGATTATGCAACGAGTCACCAAAATTATAACGTATCTTCCTTCGTTGATTTTGATACTTTGTTGTTAGGTCAGCTTCTTTTGTCGCTATCAATCAGCATCGTCTACTTTCATATCTCTACTAAAATCGCTTGGAAATCAGATGTCTACTTCCGCAGAGATCGGAGAGCTTCAACCCGGCGGCTTGGGGACTTTACAGCGAACTAAACGCCATCAGGTCGGTAGAGCTTGCGATTGGTATCGGGTTTATCGGATCAAATGTGATGCGAGATCTCCATGTCGCAATTGTGATTCCCACGGCCGTCAGTGTAGCAGCACTGGAGCGAACCAGATACGGACATTCGCTACCGCAACTAGGTGTGTTTATTACTGACCTAGCCCAAAAATGGCAGCTCATCCTTGGATAGAGAAATTGAACGACTGAAGTTGCAAGTGCAGGAACTTCAATATCAGGTCACGTGCTCCAAGCTGCGGAAAAGAATAAAGGTCCCAGTCGACCCTTACCATTCTTCAAGCCTATTGTTTCATTGCCAACCTACCTCGGCCCTTTCAGAGAGCATGGGGGGAACTGGAAATACTTGGAGCCTTATTACACCAGAAGTCATGGCTCGCTGCAGGCCATCTACTATGGCACCGCATCTCCGCACTATTTCATTGGCAGGTTAAATGTATACCTCCAATCTATACTACCTTCATCGCGATACGATCAGGACAAGCAACTCGACATAATGCCAACAACTGAAGATCCTGAGCCACGCAATGTACCCATAGGCTTCCTAGCATCGAGTTTAATCGGGACGGAGCGGGTATTGGAAACGACTCTCTCTCGACTCCAAGAGAAAACTCTGCTCGACTCATTTTGGCAGTCTTACCATCTATCATATCCAATCCTAGACAAAGAGGAGATCATGTCTCACGTAGACTCGCTATGGGTCCCATTTGTAACGCACCGCCAACCTTCAGCTCTCATCGACATCATCCTCGCTTTATGCACGCAACACAGCGCTTCACACCCACCGTCTCGCACCCCTGAAGGATTCAGTCCAGATCAGAATGCATTCTGTGATGATTATGCATTCTATCGAAGAACCCTCACTCAATGCGTTACAGTGCCAAATTCTCTCCATTCTCTATCTCCAAAACGTCTCTCGCCCGAACACGGCGAACATAATGCTTGCTACCGCCATCAGAACTGCAATCGTTCTAGGGCTTCACCGGGAAGCACCGAAAGGCACATCGACAGAAGAGGAGCAGACCCGAAAGCGGATATTCTGGACACTCTATGCACTCGAAATGGATTCAGCCATGCAACTAGGGCGGCCACTCGCGGTCAACATGTCTCAGGTCACATGCAATCTTCCGGATACAAACGAGACCCCTTTGACCATCCAATCGGACTCGTCATTGAATATAATGAAGACTTGCTATGCTTTCAACCTGCAATACATCAAACTGATCCTCGCAGCTCGAGCAACTTATGTTTCGTTCAACCACAAATGTGCTGACGTCCGTGGACCACAAGATCAGGACTGTCTTTACAACAATGCCGAGGGGCTGGAAACATGTGCGGAGTTCCTTTCACAGAAGATAGACTATATGTACAACTGGAGTCGTAATGTACCAGAGGTTTTGAGGTATATTCGAAAGAGTGCAGAGGAACTTATGTTGGACCCTCTCCAGAGGCCTCCTTCATGGCTACTCAGGTTGCCACTACTAGCGTGTCAGTGGCGTTACATCCTTCCATATCCGTAACAAGGGGGAACAGGGGAGTACCCCCCCCCCCCCTTTCATAGGCTATATATACGGGCCTTATGCCTCTTCAAATCAACACAGAACTGCTTCTTCACAACCTAAGAGTTATGAGCCCGGAATACTTGTTCACCAATCACGTGATGCTTTCCTCCTAAAGTACGACAACGCGGTCTCTGTCCCTTGGCTCTCTTACAGCCATTGTATCCTCCTTCCTCTCTCGTCACACGCTAGGAATCAATCAACCTATCTGCCGGAGTTTCTGGATTCCTGTCTGTACAAAAGCCAGCAGTACATCGCATATTCGGTTAAGACAAGGTTCAGCATTTGTTACGACATTCGATTGAGGTTCTCTCTACCATCTCGGGGGTGCGCTTACGCCACCCATACAC